TACTTTGTACCAAGTTTGCTTCTAGTCCTACATATATTAATATAAAAAAGTTTATTATATTTTATTACAATTAAAATTAAGATAAGACGGTGAAACTTCGGAAAATAATATTGAATGAAAAAAATAAATACTGCAGCACTTTACAACGCTGTGCCGGAGAGGTGCTGTAAAAACAAGAGGAATCTATTGGAAAATGCTTAATACCACACCTAAGGGAAATTTGTTTTGCTTCGTGTCGGGAGACAAGTGGCGTAACACTTATAGTGCTAAAAGGTTTTTAAAGATCTTTCAGATTTTGTATTTACTTCATCCTAAACTTTAGTCTGTTACACATTTTTTAAAGTGACATTAAAGATTAATATTCAATATTTTTTATACAACTTAGAATGGCAAACAAGCTGACGGCCCACCTGATGGAAAGTGGTAACCGTCGCCTATAGACGTGAGCAGTACTATGGACATAACAGAGTATACTGTTTCGCCCATGATACCCCCCATGCGTTGCCATTCCTGAGGACTCAGGTGTTATGGCAGTCTATGGCGGAGGCCTATGTCCAGCAGTGGACGGATAACGACTGAAATGATGAGGATGGTTTAATATTTTAATGAAATAGAAAATAAATTAAACCAGACAGAAATAAAATTTTAACAACATTAATACGTTTTATTTTGTAAAGTTTAGGATTTTTGATGTAAATAATTAATGGGACACTGTGTTATTAGAAACTAGTTAAGACATATTTTGGGGCACAACCCGGAACACCCGAACTGAATTTACGTAGGCGATTAGTGAAAGGTATTTATATCAATGTACAATTAATTTGAAATTTAAATTTATATTAATTTTTTGCATTCGACAGATTCGAACTTGAGATTTTTGAACTGTATAAATCGGTCGACAGAAATGTTAAGTATAAGTATCAAACCACGATGCTCTCGCATTTATATAAATTATTTATACATATATACTTACAATTGTTCTCAATTAAGTATAATCGTTATAGTTACATTTTACATTACAACGCCATTAAAATGTACTCAATTATTAATGTAGACAATGTCTTGAGAACTCTGCCACGCGGACCCAATTTTCTGCACCTATTTCTGTCTTACTGTAAATGAAGGTTATCTTTTTTCATTTCTTTCTTTTTGCTAAATGGATATTATTTTAATTTTTAATAATATATATATTATAATAAATCATTTATTTTTTAAGAATATGTATCATTGTATTTCGATACAAAGTTTTTGATTTATTAGATTCGAAATTAATGCATCAGTTTGGTTTAACAGTTTAATCAATTCGATTCATTTTGATTTTGGTATATTTTGTAATTACGAAACCACATTTATTTTATTAACGAAAAAGAAAGTTATTGTATTATATTACAAAAGCTATGTTACAGAGAGAACGTAAAACAATTAATCAGTTACTAGCTACAGCGCCATCTACAAACAAAAGCATGTAATATTACGCCGCGCGTTTATTGTCCTATCTACTAGCGCTATAAAATATGATTTACATGTTGTCGGGCCAAATTGATAAGATGGAGATAGGTAGGTACTTTAATATAAACGTGGATACGAGACAAATAGATGTCTTCTTTCGAAATTTACGAATATAAGTAGGTAAGAACACGGTAAGTACAAGAATCTTTAGAATCAGACACAATACAATCGCTGAATAGACGAGACTGTACTTGTAATATTTCTTTGTAATATTTTTTGTTTATTCCGACATCATAGAAAAACAACTGCAATGATTTTTATGAATCTTTATAGATATGATATTATTTTTAAGATATTATTCTTAGAAATTGATATACGGGTACATTGACCTGTACTATATAGGTCAAGACAGATAAAAGATTATAGCTATGTAGTCCTTTGTATATTAGACGCTCCTTTGTACAAAAACTTTTTAACTGTTTTATGACAATGTTTGTTATTTAGTATTTAATATTACTGCCTTGTCCTGTGACGGTTGCGGGTTTGATCTTAGCACGGTACATACATAAGTCATGGGTACGATTATTTGTAGATTATTCGTCGATTTTAAGATATACATATATTACAAATATCCATTAGTTTTACGACCACCATTTAGTTTGGGTCTAGATGGCGCTTTTTTTTTTTACAACACAGGGGGCAAACGAGCATGCGGCTCACCTGATGGTAAGTGACTACCGCCGCCCATGATCACCCACAACACCAGCGGCATTGCAGGTGTGCTGCCGGCCTTTTAAAAAGGAATATACTCTTTTCTTGAAGGTTATGTGATATGTGTAAATATTTGTTTTATTTATTCAGTACTGGTATTGTATTGTATTGTATTGTAATGTATTGTAAAAACTTTATTATACATAATTCACATTGAACACTTACTATAGTAGTAGATATAATCATATTTCGAAAATTTTATTGTTTTAATAAATAATGTGCACACTAAAGACCTACTTTGTTCTCCACGTTTCAATTTGTCAGCACTAAGGCTTTTGTATATTACGTAAATAACTTGTATATTAATAAAGGATTTTTCTTACGTTAGTAACAGACCGACTGCTCTACCAACTCATAATATAATTCACTGGATTTAGGATGTTGAAATCCCTACTTATAAATGTGTACAACGAAGATCACCTAAGACTAACATAGAAGACCTTTTTATCTTACTAATCATACGTGACATATAGGTATTTCACATTTTTTTAATAACCAATGCAACAGTTTCGTTACATAAAGACAAGTCAATATTTATGTTAATAGATTTTTAAATTTACAAAGTAAATAACAATGATAAACATCAATATTTGAAATAATTTAGATTATATAGATAGAGCATCGAGCCTCTAAAATAGGTAAATTTTTTGACAATTGCGTTTTTCAAGGCACCTTCTTTCACGTACAACCACAGTTTGGAATCAACTTTCAACAGCAGTTTCGAATCTATACGACATCATAACTTTCAAGAAAAGAGTATATTCCTTTTTAAAAGGCCGGCAGCACACCTGCAATGTCTTTGGTGTTGCGGGTGATCATGGGCGGCGGTAGTCACTTACCATCAGGTGAGCCGCATGCTCGTTTGCATGTTCTAAAAAAATGACTAAAAAAAAAGATTTCCCAATCTTTTTACAGAAACGAGAAGTAAATAGATTCGCGCGGTTGAAGCTGCAGTAAAAAGCCACATAACATATTTAATTATTCCTGTAATTTTCCTAAACATCGAACATAATCTATACAACTTTTTAGACTTTCGCGGCTGTACAAACACTTAATATGCATAATTCACGAGTCTCGGCGGTTTGTCATAAATAATTGTGTTAAGAACTTGTAAATTATGCATGATAAGGCTCCGAACACATAGAGCGTTTTTTAACTGCCGTAAGTTCAAGCGGCAATGTTTGATACGTGAAGAACAGGCGGAGCGAAGAACAGGACAACATTCAAATAAAGAAGTAACATGTAATTAAAGCGTTTTAAAGTTCTAAGTTAAGTGTTAAATAAAAAACCGATAACTGATGGGAAGAAAGGCTCTTGAGTAGTGACACCGTATGGTAAAACGCAGTGTAGGACTACCCCCCATTAGATGGAGTGACGACCTGAAATGCATTGGAGGATGTCAGTGGATGCAGGTGGCTCAGCACCGTTCTTTATGGCAGTCTATGGGGAGGCGTATGTCCAGCAGTGGACGGATAACGGCTAAAATGACAATGATGATGATATAAAGCTCTTTAAAAAACCATCTGTTTTTGATATCATTTGTGTTTTCCGATGCCAATCAGCTGTGCTTATATGGTTAACTTTCAATTTAAAGAGATGTGGCAGTGAATTATAGGATATGAGATATAGCACTTTAGTTCTTTTTTATAACACAAGGAGCAAACGAGCCTGATAATGGTCAATGAATAATATTTAGGAATGTTAACCCGTGAAGAGTATCGTAGGAGATAGAATGCGTGCCGTGATATTTGCGATACTGTTCATGTCTTTGCTGATTGTGACTACTTTTTATTAGATATAGGTAGTCTGTAGGTAGGTTTATTAGCATTTTGGGGTAAAAAAAAACTGATCACACATGTATGGGTATGGCTTTATGGTAAGTCTTGTTCTATTTTTCTCCATTGGCAGTACTACTGAAAATTCCCAGGTAAGCTAAACCAGCAAAGCGAAAAGTAAATTGACGAGTGCGGACTTCATGCAAATAAATTGGACATTGAGAAGTGAATTCTATAGAAAATAGATAGGGAAATATGTCGATCGGAAAATGGTAACCGTTTGACGCAAAATTTGAAAGGCAGATGGTTAAAAACAATAATTTTAAAATTCGAATATGTTACAGACATGCCATTTACGGTCCAATTTGAGTCTTAATAAGTAGATTATTTTCCTAAAAAAGATAACAATGAATCAATCATAAGAAATGTGACTCATCAATCTCATTATTCTTATTTTAAAACAAGTTTTAGTGAATTTTTTTCCCTTATTGAAAGGGTCCCGCGATTGATCACGATCTTACCTGATGGAAAGCCCCCGAATAGCCTATCCACGTTTGCCTTAAATTGGTGCAGATTATATTTATTTGGTAGATACATTAGATTAAAAATATTTTAATTTAGACTGCGGAATTGTATATCTACTCTATCGCTACAATTTCGAATATTAGCAAAGTGAATAATGTTAAAAATTAATAAGATAACTTTCAAAGACACGACCTTCAGTAATGAAGTAGACGAAGAGAAAGAGCATATGATACCAATAGGAAGCGGTGCGTATAGCACATAAACACATACAGAAAAGCGTAGTTTTCTTTTTTATCATGGGCGAAACAGTATACTCTATTATGTCCATGGTACTGCTCATGTCTATAGGCGACAGTTACAGTTTCTATCAGGTGGGCCATCAGCTTGTTTGCCATTCTAAGTTGTATAAAAAAAATATAAAACTCATAATAAAACTACAACTAAATTTAATAAAGGTAAAGAAAACGAACGTGTAACCCAGTAAAATTATATTACAATTATAATAAATGGCTGTTTCTAAAGTAAACTTAGCGACTAATAATAAATAATAATTTTAGAACATTTTGAAAGCATTAGCGTAGTATACTTCGCATTGGCTCGTCTTTTTATATTCTTCAGTCAAGTCTGAATCTAGCATACTGTTGATAATGTTGGAGATTCTGCAATCATTCGGTGCCAAACTGTGATCAGTTTCGATATCAAAGATTTTCACCGGTTGTTTTGTGTATTTCGATAAATTGTAATCTTCTGCAATATTTTCAGCTTTAGGATGAGCAATACCACGAATTAGAACCAGTTGGGATTCCAACTTGAAGTTAGGTTCATACTCCTTAGCCATTTTAATCCTTCTGTACGCTTCATCGAATATTGAGTTTTTATACTCCAGAGAGTAATGAGCTAGACCTTTAAGCTTCAAAGTGCAAGCTTCGACCTTTTGTGGCCAAGTATCAGCTATTTCCAAGTCTTTTCTGAGCTCGTCACTGTGTTTTCCAGCCATCAGTTGATAGAAATGTTCAATGATAGCATTTTCTAATTTAGAATCTGACAAATTGCCAACGTAGGCATTCAAATGTACTCGGAGTGCATCTGGGCTGCTGTCCAAACAGAACACGATGCCTTTGTGACCTGGAAATATATGTTCTTGTAGACTTTTCTACACAAGTATTAGGAATAATTAATTTTTTGAAAAGTTTTTTAAAAAGTGAGTTCTAGATTTGACATTTGTTAATAATAATTATTTAACATTTTAAATTAATACGGAATACTTTTGAGAATATTTGATATATTTTTACCCATAATCAGTTAAGTAATGAACAAATTTGGTAACTTGAAATAGCATTTTTTTCTTATACAGGATATAAATTTATCAATTACATAAAATCAAGAACACTATACCATCTTTTTCCATTAAAGCTGCCAATTCCAGTGCGATGTTTACTCCAAATGAGTATCCCAAAATATAGAAGGTTTTTTTCAACTCAAACCTTTTCTTTACAAACTGAAAGAATAAAAATTTATATTAAATAATATATCTTCTAGTATCATTTGAGTATAAGTAGTAATGAACAGATTTTTATTTTTCATTATCTGTGTAAATAATTCTGAATGGATTTTCGATCAAAATTTATCAGAAACACAACTTTTATTTTTAAAGTGACTTTAAAAATATAAGTTGGGTCGCAAACCCAAGTTACTTTAAAAAAATTAATAGGCTACAAGTTATCATGATTTTTAATACTTGAAAATTTTTATTTTATCAGTAAAGTAGTAGAATATGTATTGTTTAGGCGAAATGGTAGTAGAGTTTATGACGAATAAAGCATAACTTTAAAGCAATGAACTCGAATGTTTTCACAATAGGAAATTGTACAATTTTGGAATAAGTTTCATAGTAAACTCACAATGGTAGATCCTAGTTATTTGATTTCTTGTAACATGTCTATGTTATACAATATATCAGAGTAATACCTACTACTCTGTGTTGTAAGTAATAAATAAGGTCTAGCTAAAATTACCTAGCGCACTAATAATTTAGTTATGATTTCCTACCGTTAGAATGTTGCTAGCCATTTGTGGAATTGTTTGATCTTTTAAGTCCGGTCCCAGTTGGAAAGTCATAGCTTGGATTCTAAGTCTCTCCGATATAGTTCTGAATATACTGTAGTGGCCTTCAAAACCTGGTATCATCGCCAGGAAATTAGCATTGAAATCCAATTCTTCTTCATTCTGTCAAAATAGAAAAAATATGTTTGATAAAATTATAAATACACAGAGTATTAGTTATGTATATATAACATAGATATAGATTAAGAGGATATATTAGTTCTTTGGTAGATTTTTAACAGAAATAATGACATTGATTTTGATAATATAATAACAGGAACAAAACTCAATTAGACTTAAACTTAAAAGAAATAATTCTTGTGAAGTAATTCGCCAACATCAAAGCTAAGTGGAATATTTGAATTGCGAATTTACATCTTGTCAGAACTGAAACAGTTCTGTGATATTAATGCTGCATGCATTTATTAAGTAAATTTACATTTTAATATTCCAACATTATTTAGTACATTAATTTCACATATTTTTCGTTATATCATGTAATTTTGATTACTTAATAAATCTTATAATAAAAATCCATCGACGGCATACATATATGAACAAGATCACAAGTTAAAATAAATGTTATATGTATAAATTTACCTGTTTATAATTAGTAAAATACAGACGAACTGATCCACGTCCAGTTTGAAGTCACTAAAAACGTTATTGCTTACCTCGATAGTGCTGTTGAGTTTCGTTGGCATAACAACCATAGGCTCAGTCGCTTTACATTCGTCATCATCAATAAAGGTATAAAAGGCACCTAAGCCACTGTTGAATTTAGTGTTTTGTACCATGACATCGTTCTTTAAATTTTTAAGGCTAAAATGAAAATATATATTATAATTATTATTTTTTTGTTCATACCACAAAGGTGGCAAACAAGTATACAGCCCGTGTTATGGTAAACGATCATTATAGCCTATGGTCGCCTGCAAACCTAAGGGTGTCGCGTGCGCGTTACCGACCCTGAACAAACCTTTATATACCCTTTTTGAAGAACCTCATACTGTAGCCTGAGCAATTGTTTTATGTGATTGTATTAAAAAGATTAATTTTTTAATCGGATTTGACTCATTTCTTCCAGTTGTCTAGATTGAGTAGATTACCAATTACATCATAAATTATTTACGAAATTCATTCTGCTGTAACTCTTTCTGCAGATCTTTATATGTGGAAACGGACGTGAAATTTATTATGACCTTAGTACTAATTTAAGTATAAAAAATAAAAGTAATACCTGGCAATCGTCATTTCTTTTATTGTTTTAGTAGGATAAACTATGTGATAACTTTCTTTTAAAACAGACTTTATTTCCTCTATGCTTACTTCATAGAGGCCCAAGTCAGTCAAAGAGACATCATCCGGTACATCATTGATATTTTTAATACCTGTAAAATTAAATCGAATATTCAAATAAGTATTATCAGACTGTTTGATTTTACGTTTATTAAGTCAAGAATACAATATTGTATGTTCTTGTACATCACAGCAAAGTATGAAAGTTTAGTTTTTAATTATATAAACGAAACTGTTATCAAATTATTAAGCTTTATTTTTTATTTTAATTTGGAGTTAATAAGAGACTCTTAATAATTCTTAATTGAATATTTATTAAAAAAATTCTATGATTTTGATTTGTTTTGAACTTTGCCAATGAAAAATTCGACAGATTTTGAGATACATTGCTTATATCTATCTTTTCATTTAATACATTTTACATTATAATATTTACTTTATTAATTACTTATATATTAGTAATATAGAAAATATTATTAAATTGTGAAAAAATGGACAAGGATTTTTTCACTCACAAATAAACATTACGTTTTTTAACATTTTAATAACATTTTCTATCACAATTATCTGCAGACGATAACTTGTAAATATTTTAATCGCAATAAATGTAGATTCGAGTAGTAATAATGTAGTAATTGTACCACTCACCTAATATTGTCTCAATTTTACTTATGGCATTTTCCGAGATTCGTTTATTAAGATTAAACGATATAACGTTACTATTTTCGAGTTTGAGACTTGTTTCGAGGGCGTTTAATATAGAAAAATATGATTGTAATTGTAATTTATGTTGTTTACTCGAGTTTGTACTCAGCTGTGAAAGAAACATATTAAATCAGTACGGATACTAGAATATGGAAGTATAGTATAAATTATATGGAGGCGAAATATGTTTTGTTTATATAAATAACTTTGTATCATGCGAGAAAGAATTCGAAGCCATCGACAGCTTTGTGATAAATCGCTACACTACTTATTTGTCGCGCGCTACGAAAACTATTGATGATACATAAAACAAGTTCGTTTTTGTACATTGATATATATATATATATATATATATATATATATATACTCATTATTACTTGCAAAATCCATAATAGTATATACCTAACTATTATGGTTGTCACAATAAACGTTTTTTGTTTCTAATTAATTGATCACAATACGAAAAGAATAGAAAAATAATGATATTTGTACCATGGTATTAATTGTTATTCAATTAAATATTTTCATAATCATAATTGATTTATGTAAACACATTCTTTAAATTATTCATATGATAAATTATTATTATTAAAAGATATTAAAATGTTAAAATCAATACAAATGCCACGGTATGTGTATTACGCTTAATATTGTTTTTGTCTCCTACTGATCCAAGTAAAGTACCAATATAAACTAGTAATTTATCTATCTATCTACCAGGTGAATTGCTAATTACTTATAAGATTTTTTTCCTTACTGATTAAAACATAAATAAAACGATTAAGTTTTGAAAAATGAAATTTGGAACATAAGTTTATTTTATAACGTAAGCATTTAACGTAATCATCAAGAATCAGTAATTAGTCCTGCTTAGGGTTTAGGAAAAGAGACAAATTATTAGAAGTATTGAGGACAGAAGGGGAAAAATGTTGGGACACTTGATACGACACGACGAACTTATGAACATTATAATAGAAGGTAAGATGGAAGGAACGAGGGGAAGAGGGAGACCGAGACATAGTTACATCAGGCAGATCAAGAAAAAGTTGGTGTCGTGTCGTATCAAGAGGTGAAGAGACTCGCTGAAAATCGTAGTGAGTGGCAAGAGCTCCACCGACAAGAGCACAGCTCTTAAATAGGATAGATAGAAAGCATCTAACGGATGTTAGAGATAAAGGACTTATGAAAATTTAACTTAAAGGGGGAACACGGCAACACGCATGCAAAGTTCGCAATAGCTAGTTATGTATAAAACTAGAATACCTCATCGGTCCAATCGACGCGGTAAAAGAGAGCCGGCAATCCAACTTCTGTTCGCATTTCGCACACTCTTTCAGACACCGACGTCGAATATTCGTCGGTGGCATTCTCCGACGAGCGAGCCAGGACGACGAAGTATCTGCAAATTTAATTCACTGTTATCAAATATTCATTAACCCAATTATAAAATGCTGTACATAGGCTTCACCCACAAGTAGGGGTTTATTAGTAGTTGCCACGCCTGGCAGGCGGATTGGCAACCAAAGTTAGGCTTTCAATTATGTTATAAAAGGGACGCTACTGCTTATCCCTCGATCATTAAGTTCCCATAGTTGCCTTTTACGACGCCTTTTAAAATTTAATGAAAAACTTTACAATTGGCTTATTTAAAAATGTTTTTATTCACTTGAAGACTAGTTTAATGCAAAATTTTAAGAATTGGTTCCAAATGATATATTTGCACATCACACGGTTGAATGCAGAGTCTTTTCTTTAACTTTAAATACTTCTAATGTATTAACCATTATTTCAGCAAATTAATTTATCATTAATGCATTCATTCACCTACAGGAACGACATGGGGTGGCCCATCCTATGCCGGGACCAAACAGCCAATTTTTGTCTATCTTAGTTAATAAAGAAAATTATCTATTTTATAATAAAATACACCGGGAGAAATCGAAATTGTTAGCGGTATATAAAGCTAAGAATTGATACTTGAACATATTGGGAGAGAAATGTAGTTATTTTAAAATCATCAGTAATCATACTTTAACTCTCTGCAAACATTCCTAGATATCAAATCCAGGTTAGCAACGACCAAAGCTGTTTCTTTAAACTTATTAGACGCATCCTCTTTCTTCAATGTTTCTTCCTTGTTGTTGTAATGTTTCTGTGCAACAAATATTCCCTCTACATTTCCCAACTTCATGCCTTCACTAAAGAGATCGACGCAACCTTTTTCAGTTTGCAAATTAACTGATACTAGTTTTATTGTAGCGCCGTGAGCTCTCCACGACCTGTCAGAAAAAAGAGATAGATAGATAGGTATGTAATTTATTTATGTCACTTACAACACACAAATAACGTTAGCTACTGATACATATTTGAAGAAATAAAACAAAACATATACAAAAAAAACAAAAAAAAAGTGAAGCAAAAAAAAAATGGTATAGTAGAATAAGAGAATTCTAAATAGAAGTAAAAATCATAATTATCAATACGGAAATATTCAGAAGAAATGTTATTATATTAAAAAAAATCTGTTAATATTTCATTGTCGTTTAGTTATTAATGATAGAGTCAGGAAGATAACAAGGTACTAAAATATTAGATAAAAAATATATTTCTTCCATTGATTAATTCGCACGCATTGTTTTAAAAACACTGCCGAATGAAATAACGAAATCGTTTCCGCAAAAATTTCATAATGGAATAGAAGTAATATATTTTTTTTTATAAATTTCTTAGTAAAATAAATAGTGTCAGTAATTAAATAAAAATAGGTGTGTAACATTTTTTACATTTTTAAATTCAATCCATTGGGTTGAAATTTGATATAACAAATTATAAATGACCAGCTTTTACCCGCAACTTCGTCCGCATGACCGGGATATGTTTATTGACTAAGTTAAAAATAGCCTTTATCATTCTCCATCAGTAAGTGTATACCAAATTTCATAGTGATCGGTTAAGCCGTTAAGACGATATAAGGCAACAAACAAACAATCTAATTCATTTTGATAACAACTAAATTCTACCCACTATATTTGTTATTTAATCACACTTAAAAGGCTGAGTGATTTGAATCAAATTTGGTACACGGATATGTTATAACCTAATACTTTATATACGTATTCACGTCGAGAAATCCGCTGTAAATGTAGAACATTTTATAAACACAATGCCAAAACCTTAAAATAAAATAAAGGATTTTGATCATTCAATAGTACTCACTCTAGTTTCGACTGGAAATAACCAGTTAACGAATTAGGCTCAGCCTGAACAAGCACATTCATTGCTCCCCTTTTCACGAGTCGATCTATTAACTCTGTCCCTAATATGATTTCGTCGCACACAACTATTTGAGATTGTGTTGGGGAATAGGTTATACTGAAATGTAATTTTGAATCAATTGTATTGCATGACATGTTTTATAAAGTTATAATTTTACTTAGTTTCAATAGAACTCAATGAAAATGTAATCAAATTTTATTTAAATCAACACAAAGACACTCTCTAGATCAAATTAGTAATAAATTGAAATATTCTATCTTTTTCTTTTAAGAGTTTACTCTTGTCGGTGCAACTAGTTCATGCATTCTCTTCCAGCCAGTTCTATCCCAGGCCATATCATTGACCTCCCTGTACGACATGACACCTAGTGTTTCCTTTATCTGTTCCATGTAGTTATTTTATTGAGATATTAAAATATTTAATATAAACTGCTGTAGGATATCTGCAAATCGTCTTATACGCTCTGGAAACCATCGTCCATTCCAGGTGTATGGGTTTACTGGCCTGCTTTCAGTCTCAGTTTTTAGTCAGAGTATACGGTAGCGGGGTTACCATTCCATTATAATCTATTAAAAACTGTCCTATAACGGTCGAATAATTATTTTTTACAACAAACAAATATTTTTCATCAAGTTCTATTCACACTACAGAGATCGATATATATTGCACACTTACATAGGAATGCCATTACACCCAAAGTCTGTTGTTACAGGATCCCGCATTCTGATCAGGACCCGGCCTCTGTGTTTACCTTGCGACAAGAGCCTGAACGCTTTGATTATATCATTCGGTGCATACAGCACACGGGTTAAAGGTCTTATTATACCGCTGGCTATGCCTTCACTGATGTACAGTTGCAATGTCTGAAAGCAGAAGTAGGGCAGAGGTAGTCAGTTTAAAGGGGGGGGGGGGAGAGTCACAGACTATAGTAATACATACACACAGTAGCACTAAGTGGTCTAAGTCATAAATTGTTTGTCACAAGGTTTTTTGTTTATTTAAATTCCCAAAATATGTTCTTTATCTAACTTCATATTTAAATTAGCGTATTAAAATATTGTCGTGTAGGTCCCGGCATGGAATAAGCCACCCCGTCCTTTCCCGTAGGTGTCGTAAGAGGCGACTAAGGGACGACGAGGGATGGGCAGCAGCGTCCCTCTTAAATCATTTCTAAAGCCTAACTGCGGTTGCCAACCTACTTGCCAAGCGTGGCAATTACTGACAAAAACCACGAGAAGGAGGCTTATGTTCAGCCATGAACATAAGTTCGGTTTGAAGGGTGGGATATGGCGTGAATTTACTGGGTACAGAGGAATAACACCTGAGTCCTCAGGAATGGCAACGCATGGGGGGGTATCATGGGCGAAACAGTATATTCTGTTATTTCCATGGTACTGCTCATGTCTATAGGCAACGGTTACCACTTTCCATCAGGTGGGCCGTTAGCTTGCTTGCCACTCTAAGTTGTATAAAAAAAAAAATAGCATTATAGATAAATGTTATAGTATTTATATTTATGAACTACTTTAATGGACTAATTTGAACAATTAAATTAAAGACTTACGTACTTCAGTGAAATTTTTAACTATAAATATTATTATTTTACAAGGAACATAATATACCTTTCTTATATTCACATTTTCCGGTTCAAATATATAAGACATGTTAACAGACATGAAATTTCTTTCATCTGTTAACTTATTCATTCCAAAGCTGAGGTTTTCTTGCAAATCGTAGTCGTTTACATTGAATACAATGGAACTGCGCCCGCCACACTGCATTGCAGCCTAGAAATAAAAATTAATCGTACTGTAAACAGTTCGTTATAGACGTATAATAATATCTTTGAACATATCATGCAGTATTTAGTACCAAAATAAGCAGAGTTCCTTTTATGGCCACTAGATCACTACCTACTTTGCTGATGTGAAGGTTGTGCTTTTTGGTATTCTGAGTTTCTAGTTATTATAGTTTTGGTGGGACATGTAAGCACATACACATATGTAAAATGGCCACCAATATGTACATGACACCTCGCAAATAAATAATTTAATTTTATTCACATTCTGCTTCAATAGATTTTAATAAAAAGCTATAAAAAATCGATTTATGCAAGAAATTAATATATTTTTTTTTATTTATTACTATTGGACTTCAGCAAAATATCATAAAATCGAGTCGATTTGTTTAAATTGTTATTAAGAATGTTCATGACTTTTGCTCACGGAAGTGTCGCAATTGTCTGCCAATTAAAAAAAAATAGTTAATGTTTTTCAATATTTCTGATTGATTACTTATATTCTAACTAAATCATTGTTGATTGATCCAAATATAAGTTTAAACTAAAAAGTGCGTACCTCACATATCGTGCCAGTGGCGCAGTTTATAACTACATCGCATCGTTGGTTCTTGGTGCCCGCCAACACCATGTCTTTGAATGAGATGTCACTAGAGTTGCCAATTTTGTTTGCTGCGAAAATATTTCATAACTATAAAATCTGGGGCATTTTTATCTATCACTTTTAGTATTTTATGCTCGATGCTCTTGTGTTTATTTCCTTCATATTCTTTAATATTAACAATTGAATTGGTTTTAATATACATAGAAAAAAATTGGGAGGATAAAAGTACAGAATCATAGAAGAGTAGAACAAGGACAGAAGAGGAAAATAGAAGAGAGAAGGAGAGAAGCGGTGAAGGAGAAAAGGAGAGAAGGAGAGGATGAAAAGAGAGGAGGGAAGAAGGGGAGAAAGGGAGGAGGAAACTATGGAAGAAGGGAAGGAAGGAGGAAGGAGAAGACGAAGGAGAGGAGGAAGGAGAAAAGAGAAAGGACGAAGGAAGAGGAGGAGAGGAAAAGGAGGAAAGGAGGAGAGGAGAGGGAGAGCGAAGAGGAAGAGTGGAGGAGAGGAGGAAATGGGAGAGGAGGAGAGGAGAGGAGGAATGAGGAGAGAGGAGGAGAGGAGAGGAGGAGAGGGGGGAAAGGGGAAGAGGGGGAGAGGAGGAGAGGAGGAGAGAAGGATAGGAGGAGAGGAGGGGAGGAGGAGAGGAGAGGAGAGGAGGGGAGAGGAGAGGAGAAGAGGAGAGGAGAGGAGAAGAGGAGAGGAGAGGAGAGGAGAGGAGAGGAGAAGAGGAGAGGAGAGGAGAGGAGTGCAAAAGAACAGAGGAATAGAAAAATAACATTCCAATTTCAGTAAAATACTCCTCCATAAAATAAGTAATGGTAAGTTTACCATCAAGAGTGGGGAACAGTTTGAGTAAGAAGTGTTTCTTCCTGAGGTCGCTGACGGCCGCGTACACCGTGCAGCCGAGCGCCGTGCACACCGCCAGCGCCGCCTGCCCCAGCGCGCCCGCGCCGCCCACCACCAGCACCGTCATGCCTTTCAGTAATTGCATTCTTATAGCCTGTCAGGGAAAACATGCATTGGAATAACTATATTAACTACATACATACATTCATTATAATACTTACTGTATTTTCCGTTATAAACATATAATATAAACGTAATAAATATTGTTGAAACATAAGCCTTTAGAATAAGTAAACAGAGATGATTTTGTTTTATATTATTTAAAAATAAATATGTTTCTATCAATTTCCATTGCATATATTCGTCACGATAAATTAATTATTAAAGACAGTACACCCACAAATCAAAAGATCATTAACAATCCAAACAAAGTAAACAAAATTAATGCCTTTTACTATATAAGATTGAAAAAAATACCAGCTGGTGAGAAAAATAACAGCTAGCAATAAATAACTAATTAGAAGAAAATTAACAATATGAACAAAAAAAAAAAAAAAAACAGATAAATAAATATAGAGATCTCAAACCAGTTGGTTTCCGTGGAATTAAAGCCCAATACCTCGTCGAATATACACATAAAATGCAAATGCAAAAGAATAAAAATAAAGAAATATCCAAATAGAAAAACTTTAGGGAAAAACTGAATGTCACAATGAGAAAAATAATAAAACATAATGGAAAAGAATAATAAAAAACAAAATTGTCATGTATATATTAAATATGAGAACGTTATTGGAAAAGCCAAAACTGATAGAACTTGAAGAGGCAACAAAAAACCTCAAATGGTTTGCTATAGACATTTATGAATTGAGAAGGTAAAATGATAGAAAAACATTTAAACTACATACTTTATCACACGGCTAGTAGTACAAGATAGTGAGGATTGGAAAATTTAATTAAGAAATATCTAAAAAAGTATTTTTAGAAGAAAATGGCTGCAATAGTAATAAAAATGTCAAACAATTTACTATTGTCTCCGATAGAGGTGTATGCTCTCAGCGAATCCAAAATTTTCGACGAACAGTTAGATCTTTTTTACCAGAGCGTGAAAGACCTACCTTAGAATCAATTAATAACAGAAACTTAATAAATTGATTATAATGCACAAATAGATAAAAGGAGAAGAATTTGTTTCTGTGAATTATACGGAAAAAGAAAGGTTACATTATTAATTTAAAAACATATATAAACAAACTCACCAGACAGTAGTAAGCGTGTATATAAGGCAGCGGCACTGTAGCCGCATCTTCGAGACTCCAATGTTGTGGCACCGGCCACAGTAAGTTTGAATCCACTTCTACAGTACTGGACAACGCGCCTCCAGAGATTAGGCCCATTACTTTCTCACCTCTACAAAACATGTTGACGATAAATAAAGATCTATCTTCATACAAAATCTCTTGCGGGGACAGAGAGAACTGGGAGCCAAAGCTTTCTGTCCTTACGTACATCTCTTGCTTATTGAACATGCATAGCTCGTCACATGCATGCATGCAAGATGAATAGTTAAATAATATGCCCCAAATCGAAAATGTAGAATATATTGTCAAGGTAAAGGGGATTTGTTTAAAGACAATAGAATGGATGGATCAGGCATTCGCCTGTACTGTCAGTATACACTGGCGGGAATAGTGAGTCATAATAGTGAAAATGAAATCAGGTTATATGAATTTGTAAAGTAGTAAAGAACTAGCCTGACTGTTTTAACATCTTGGTGACTAATTTTAAGTTGGAGTGATATATAGCATTCTTATTCCGTTGCCACACGGATGTTCGCGGTGGTTTATGAAGATCTGATTAAAAATTTAACTCACTTGTTTGTAATACCGCTGAAGTCCATTCCAAATTCCTTATTATCTCTCACTCGGCCGACCACTCTTTGTACATCCCTCACAGATGGTCCAGCGTAGTGAACCTACAAGGTAAGTTTATGAGACACTTATTAAACAAGCATCCCTTATTTAAAATATTTGAGGTTTTTTTTTTCACAAAAATAATAAATCAAAACAAATTATTAAAGAACTAAGGTGGCTTTTACACGCGACTTCGTTCGCGTAACCGGGATATGTTGATTGTCCGATATAAATACCAAATAGTACTTAATTATCAAATTTCATGACGATTGGTTTAATAATTTAGGACGCCAAGAGGTAGCGAATAAACAAATCCACTTTTACATTTATAATATTAATAATGATATATTGTGTTATTACAAAATCGTACCGTCACTGAAGTCTTGCTAGCCGAGGGCGTGGCAGCCTCTGTCCACGTTAAACTAGCGAGTTCACCTGGCACTGCACTTGTGAGCTTTATGCTACGAAGTTGTGTTGACTTACCACTTGGTACGTAGTAGTATGAACCCCATTTGCCCTGTGATTTTTACATTATTTATAAATAATAAAAAATATGCTCAGGACTCTATATTGTAGGGGGGAAAGGGATTGTTAGCAATGAAGTTTGACAGCCCCATTGCTAGCAATATGCCCTATTAGGTCTACCTCCACGTGATTCCCCCTGGAAATCATCGTGAACAATTCTTGTTGAATCCGTCACAATGGGCTAACTGACCTGCTTCATCCTCACCTATTATCCTTCACTGGTGCTCCGCCAGTGTATACCGATAGCGTGGGTGGGGTTACCATTTCATTATCATACATTAAAAAAAAAAAAAAAGACTCCATATGGTATAATCCGAAGTTTTTGTTGAATGGTACCGTTATGGTAAGCGTAGTACTCGACATGTCCACGTTCCAACAAGCATATTTGAATCCAACATGAAAGTGAAATTACCGCCGTCGCTCGAATTAATTTAATTACGTGTAGGTATTTTACTTTACGGAGTAATAGTGAAAAATGTAAATTGACACAAATATTTTGGTGCCGACCAGATTCGACAGTTTTGTGATTTATAAGTCGGAATAATATGCCAATGAGTTATAGAAGGTAAGCTTCTGAAACTCATTACATTATTTGGTGTTATGAAAAACACGATGTTACGAGAAGCGAAAGAAAACAACGTTTTCTCTTACTTATATATTACTATTGCTATAGACAGAAAGGTTTGTAGATCGAATTCGCTCGACAAACAAAGACTTGTAAAACAATTTAATTTAAAAAAAACATTTTGAAAAAATAACATTGACAGATGCAGGTGTTAGTAATTATCATTACCTTAATATATAATAGCATTATATAATGTAACAAATATATAACAAATAGTATATCATGAGAGGTAAAACGTAGTATCTAATATATCTAAAAATGGATGCAATTAATGCCCATGTAATTAATGCCTAGGTTGTCTGGAAGAGATTGCTTAGCAATAAGACCGCCTTTTGTACTACACTGTACGTATTGAAAATTGTTTAACAAATCATGTTATGTTGGTGCAATAAAATATATATATATATATAATAAAATATATATATATATATATATATATATATATATATATATATATATATATATATATATTACACAATAGGAGCCACAGACAGCCTTCTATGTCGATGCTGTTTCGACGCCGAAGAAACGGCTGCTCACGTAATCCTGGAATGTGAGGCTGTGGCCCATCAACGTTTAGAAATCCTCGGAACGGTGAGGTCGCTCCGTGAGGCCTGTGAAGAACCCAGGAAGCTTCTGCGCTTCTGGACGGAGCTAGGTTGGCTGCACTAGCCACGACTCATACGCACAATGGCCCAAATGAGAGGCTAAGCGCAGAAAACACAGTCTTTCTCACATTCACATTTTATTTGCCTATGTAATTTATTCACGTATATTTATTATATTTATGCAAAATGCGATGCAAATGATTTGACTTGATTTAGCATCGCAAAGTGAACCAGAACATTACAATAATGATATCACAAATATACAATTACGTTATAATGATTTGATAGGCGCTGAAATTAGAATTTCTAGTCCAGAATAATTCGTACTGGATTACATTGCGTAGCGGAATAACAATGAATTATTACATGCAATAATGACGTGTCTGTTCACATGCTCTTTTGATGTTAACAATTCAGTAATTTGCAGGATAATAGAAAATGCATCTTATTTGTTGAATTATGACACAACATAATACGTAAATATATGTATGGCAAGCAGTATCCCGCGGCTTCATTCACATATAATCAGTGTATAAAGTATCCCATATATTTTTATAGCATATTATATGTGATTATTTAGAGTGATAGAACTTTTTTATTTATGAACCGATTGAAATAAAACAAACACTAGTACAAACTGTAACATATTAGTGAAAACCGCTTTCAAATGGCTTAAGCCGTTTTTGAGATTTACATACACAAACGTACAGACAAACAGACATGGAGACATACGAACAAAAATTCTAAAAATCATTATTTTGGGTTCTATTACATTCAATAAGTCCCACTATAACAGTTTTTCTTATATATCTTCTATGTACAGAAAGCGATCAGTTACGATTTATTACTATGTTTTGATAGCTGTTGACGGTGTCTAGTATTTATTTATTTATTTATTTATGTACACTTTATTGCACCATTTATAAAATAGTAAACACATTTAACTGTAATAAGAAATGATACAAAAGGCGGCCTTATCGCTAAGCAATCTCTTCCAGACAACCTTTGGGTAGAGAACATTGAGAAAACAAAGAAAAATAAAGGGTCACCTACCCTACCATAATATTACGCACTATTATATTAGTACTATTATATATAAACAAATATATACAAAGATATATACATATATATGTATATACATATATATACATAAACAAATACATACATAAACATACACAAACTTAAAAGTACACATACAACAGGAGAGAGTGACACTGGAAGATGAAGATAGAACATGGGAAAAAATAGTTACTTATATATGGGCTTTAACAGAGGTTTTGAAACTAGCGAGAGATTGAGCGCACCGAATTATTATTATATTCCACAGCGAACTTGTATCAGTAAAGGAATTGGAATAAAAGGAAGTGGAGTGAGTTGGAAATTTGAGACGGAGATTATTGACACTGCGTGAAGTTTGGCCATTGGCCTCATTAAGAAACACAAATCGGTCTTTAAGATAATCAGGAACAATGGGGTTAAAAAGAATCGCGTAAAGGAGAGATAGGATATGTAAATTACGACGAAAACGGAAAGGGAGCCACTTGAGTTGAGTACGAAATTAAGAAATGTGATCATACTTGCGAAGACCAAATATGAAACGAATACATAAATTTTGAAGACGCTCAAGCTTGTTTAATTGCTCTTCAGTAAGGTCTAATAACATTTACATATATAAGAATGGATTTTATGCAAGCGCAATTTTGGTGGTAATAGGAAGGAAATTGCGTAATCTATTCAAGGCGCTAGTAACAGCAAACATTTTTTTGCTAACCTCTGAAATTTGCGAAGACCACGATAAAGTACTGTCAAAGATAATGCCAAGATTTTTTTTTTTTTTTGTAATCTATTAGAACCCCATCAAAAATCAAGTCGAGAGACTCTCCAATGGAAAGTGAAATAAGCCTGGGGCTACCTATAATGATGGCTTGTGTCTTTAAGGGGTTTACAACAAGACCATAAGATTTACTCCAGGCTGATATATGTGTAAGATCAGTGTTAACAGTAGATATTGCTAAAGCGATATCAGTATTTCAACTAAGAATTTAATTTCATATCCTATACTAACAGCCAACCCCGCTTTGCATGAGTGTAATTTTCCCTATGATTTTTCAAATATTTTCTAACATATAAAACTTGTTATATTATTTTGTTTTATTATATAATTGTTGTATTATATATATTTATATATATATATATATATATATATATATATATATAATGACGAATATAGGATAATTATATATTTTAGCTAAAAACAAATAGTATTTCTTTTAATAAACATAAAATATTAAAGAGTTATAGTGTTTCTAATATTGTAAGCAGGAAAATATATATCTCAAAACAAGTTCTGTCAGTTTTTAAGTAACACCTGTGTAGAAATATACCTATATCATTAACAATACTAGTTAAATACAAAAAAAGATGCTTTTTTTTTTAACTGAATAAAAACGTTATAATTCTATTCGTAAACTTAAACTGGTAGCTTACCTGTTTTAAAATATTAAAAACTAATTGCTTTTGAAGTTGATCTTGGTACAAACTGTCTTCGAGAGTAAACGATGGTGCATGATAATCTTCTATCACCACTAGTCTGATATTACCCTGGTACTTGTTTTTAAGTCTTTTAACTAGTCCTGTAGTAAAAAATATAATTTTAACTTCTAATTCTGTACCAACATTGATATTATATTATTATTTTCCTTGGCTTAATAACTTATAAATTAGACGGAGGCGGAAGCCAAAAAAGAGCAATACTTTAAGATAAGTAATCCATTTTTAACTTCCATTAATAAAAAAATGAATTGAAATTGAGTAAAATAAACAAATTTTCATCCAATACTAATTTTCCGTGTACCGATAAATTTTTCCAATATTAAAAGCGCAAGTGAAGGCAGTATCGCTAAGTTATATTTTATTATATATCGTTGAAATTTAATATAAGATTAATGATTTTTTTTATGCAACTTAGAATGACAAACAAACTGACGGCTCATCTAATAGAAAGTGGTAACTGTTGCCTGTAGTCATGAGCAGTACCATGGACATAACAGAGTATACTGTTTCGCCCATGATACCCCCCATGCGTTGCCATTCCTGAGGACTCAGGTGTTATTCCTCTATACTCTGTAAATTCACTGCCATATCCCACCCTTCAAACCGAAACAGCTATGTAAACACAACTGCTTCATGGTAGAAACACGAAGGGAACAGAGGTACATAGCAAAACGACTTTTGTGCAAAATCTCGCACTGGTAATGTTATATAACTTACCTATAAGACCACAATAATGTTGTTTATCAGAAACTAGAATAACATGTGACGATGACCGCAGCTCTTTTTCTACTTCGGGCACCCAAGAAAAGTTCAAATCGTGAGCTATAGAAATAGTCTTTATGTTTTGTTTCTCCTTAACCACATCAGCTTTTTTAAGCAAAACAATGAACTGGCTTTGCATCGACATAAGAGTGATAACATCGAATAATTTATATTTAGGATATATTTTGGATGTATCTTTCTCTATAGTTATAACGAATGTATTTTTATTCAAACCACTATGAAGATTATTCATTTTCTGTAATTTAATTAAAATGTACATTTAGATATCGTAGTCTACTTCATTGCCTTTAAAAATTACAATAATACTTATATTTATTACATTTACCTTTTCATCACTCAACAGATTGTCTACAATAACAACGTTAGCTTTTAATACATGTTTATTCGTTTTTATTGAAGAAAAATCTTCAATTTCCTTTGTAATCATATTAAATTCTGCTTCTGGTATCTTATTAGCTGCTTCTTTAATAGCATTGTTTGTAATTACAAAACTTGGAGAAGACAAATTCACAACATTTATATGATTCTCTACCACATTGTCGGCTATAATTTGTAAATTTATTTGCAGAGCTGATATAAGCTGTAAAAAGATTTTTTTTTCTTAAAATACAACAACCTGATTGTGCAAAACAATATAATCATGTCATTATAAATATCAACAGTTAAAAAGTGTTTAAATAAAAAAATAAACAAAAAAAATTAAATGCATTTGAACAAAAATAAAGGAATTATACTTACATCGATATATCCTGTTAGAAAATGTGGAATAAACTGTTTTGTCTGCAGCACATCAGGAACTTGTTGTTTGAATGGTTTTTCATAAAACTCTATATTTTTTAGCTGAATTCCGCCACATCTTTAATAACATTTATTAGATAATTAATATAGAAAACTTTTTTTATTTGTAATGACAAAAATTTTAAAATAAATTTTATATTTACCTAGTCACAGCTGATATAGCGTTATACGTAACGTCTATACTGTCAGAGCCTTTTGGAAGATTTTCTACAATGCGATTATGCTCTATAGGATTTATTGTAAGACTTTTTATGACTTTTGTAGTTGATAACCCGTCGTAATTCTTTGCTAGTATATTTATTTGTATCATTGAGTCCAACAATGTTACCCACTCGCCGGTCCATTTGACGCTTGCTTTAGAAAAGTTATTATTTATTGTTCGTACCGACTGAAACTCACCCCTGAAATAAAATCCGATAAAGTTTCAGATTTACAATTAAATTGTGATTCTGTATTATTATTATTTGCTAACTTATACATTTTAAATAGTTTATTAAATAAATGCAGTACTAAATTTATTTGTCAGAAGAATGGAATATTGCAAACTTTGAAATTTGCAAAAGGGATGCAATTAAACATATAATGCATATTAATGAGTTTTCAATACATTAAGACAAAATAAGTAACATTAATTTTAAGTAAGTCAATGATTATTAAAATTTTACCGGTAAGCGAGTCCTCTTTGGTTGAAAAATCTATAAATTTCATTGGAATCTAAAATAATATCTTGATCAGTAGCGACATTATCTACTGGTTCTTCGTTTTCATCTACAGAGACATTAGGTTCATTATCTTGTATGATATAGCCATCTACAAGACATGCGTTTTCATATATAACCTAAAACAAAATATATAACGATACTGTATTGTAGAATAGCAAACAAGCTGACGAAAAGTGGTTACCATCGCCTATAGAAAGAACAGCCCCATGAACATAATAGAGTATTTTGTATAGCCCACCCATATGTTGCCATTACTGAGGACTAAAGTGTTATTCCTCTATATCCCTTAATTGCATTGTCATATCCCACAATTCAAACTAAAATATAATTACTTTACAGCAGAAACACAAATAGGACAGAAATACCCAAACAGACGACTTTTGAACAAAGTCTAGAACAAAATGTAGTAGACATGAAAAAAATATTCGAATAAAAACACAGATAGATGTCGAAACATTTTATAGACATATGGAATTGAAAATATTTTAATTCAGAATTCGTTATCATGTAGGTATATACAATATGACATCGTCACAAAAAGAAATATAGATAAATTAGATACCTTCTACATTTGAACATTCAGGTGTATAATCAACCATTAAAACTATTTTTGTTATTAAAAACAGAACTCTATGTACACAACTATAAAATATATTTTAATATGTGTAAGCAACGTACCTCAAAAAAGTAGCTACCCTTGTATATTAAAATTTCAAATTTCAAGGGCACTTCTTTTCTAATAACCGCCTCTCCGTGGAAATTTATGTCTTTGAATATAACAGACATTTCTCTGTAGTCCACCTCTTTGTACATAGCTAAAGTTTCCCAGACCAGGAATAAAATTGCAGCTTCGGGGAACATGATGAGACCTGGAAAATTTTCATTTATATTTTTCATATCATCAGATCTCGAGTCGCGATGTTCGTTCACGTTGATCTTCCAAACTATTTAATCGGTTTTAATGAAGTTTTGTAAATTTACATTATATGCATCCCGTTAAGAGATTTTAGATAAGAGATCCCGTGAAGAGAACTTATCCTGACAGGAGAAAATGGACATTATTGATGGTTGTAGGAAGCTAAACCACGTTTGTCGAGCCAGCTAATAATATTATAGAGCAAATATAATACTACTAGCGAAAAAGGCAAGGATTTTTTTTATGCAATTTAGAATGGCAAACAAGCTGACGGTCCACCTGATGGAAAGTGGTAACCGTCGCCTATACACATGAGTAGTACCATGGACATAACAGAGCATACTGTTTCGCCCATGATACCCCCCATGCGTTGCCATTCCTGACGAATCAGGTGTTATTCCTCTGTATATTGTAAATTCACTGCTATATTCTACCCTTCAAACTGAAATTGTTAGTAATTGTATCTAATAGTCCTATTGTTAGCAATATATCCTCTATTAGGTCAGTTTCCACGCGATTCGTTTTGGAAACAATTGTGATTAATTTTTCTTGAATTCGTCACGATGGATTAACTGACCTGCTTCATTTCATTGTGCTCCATTTTGAATCTTTTGAAAGAATAAATTAATTTTAAAGCATTTTGAAAGGTTAAAATACAACATATAAAATTGTAATTACCATCCCTAACATGGCCTTCAAAATATTTGTAGTCGTCGTCAAAAATAGACATAATGAAGCGGCGATTTGTTGCAACCACTCTCTTTTTAGTATTATACCTGGCCTCGGGCCTGAAAAAAGGAAAATGTTCTATAAAAACCTCAGTAAACGTCGCTGTAATTTATGAGTCTTTTCGTAGTTTAAACAACTCTTGTTATATTTTTTCTGCGTAAAATGCAATGGTAAATTAATGGTCCATATGATGGAAAATGATAACCGTCGCCTATAACATAAATATCACTTTATGGAACACTCTGTCATGTTCATGGCACCTCGTGTATTGTCATTTTAGAGGACTATGGTATTATCCTAAAACATCACCAATGTCTAACTGCGGCTACCAACCCGCCTGCTAAGCGTGGCAACTCCTGGAAAAATCCTTTAGAGGACTTCATAGAAGAAAGCGCATATTCAGCAGTGGAGAATTTTTTTTGATGTGTGAAAATGATATGGTAACCCCACCTGCGCTAACGGGTGATAGATGAGAATGAAAATAGGCCAGTTAGCCCATCATGATGAATTTATCAGGAATTAACCATGATAGTTTCCAGAGAGAACCGCGAGGAGGTCGACCTGGTTGGGTATATTGCTAGCAATGGGATTTTCAGTCTCCATTACTAACAATCCCTTTTCTCCCGCAGTGGAGAGTTAGCTACTGATATGACGATGATGTATACCTAGTAATTTTAGTTTAATTGTAAAACATTTCTTTCTAACATTAGATATGTAAATAAACAAACAAACTTCTCTCGGAAGTTAATAACCTCTGTGCTACTTTTCTTTGTGTGATGAGGTCCCGGGTTCGGATTTCCAGTCGTGTCAATTTAGGAAATGAATTATTCTAAATTGCTTTAAGTTTGGGTGTTGTAGATTGTGCCCCCAAATACTCGCTATTTAGTTTATTGTAATACAGGACAATTGGGGTGATTGTGTGACACTTATTTATTATAAATAAAATTTATTTCGTTATTCTTAACTTGCATAATTGTATACGTTTATTTTTAAAAATTTTATCCATTTTTCATTCTGAGTCTCTTTAACTTGGTAATAACATAATGGGAGGATAACGAAACAAATGAGATTTTTAAAATGTGTGAATGTTAAACCATCTCTTTGTGTCTTAGTGAAAATAGTTGGGGAATAACTTTAGCTGTTATATTATGCTATGGTATTTATTTATTTCTCTTATTCTACGAATACTATTAATATGAAAGTTTATATATATTTTTAGATATGTGTTCTTTACTTAGTCACGTTAAAAAAAAAGTAGATTTGAATAAAACTTAGTACATGCGTAGGTAACATCTTAACACGCGTTACACAACTAGTTTTTCTTTATAAAGTAAAAAATAAATGTTTTCACTTAAAGAATTGAGCGGTGATTGGGATGATACGTAAAATATGTAACTCACCAGTCCTCGCTGTGCACCCAGTCGACAAAATGGGACAGTAACGACGTGCCCGTCGCTACAGGATATTCGATTTTAGGGTACAGGATGTCCAATTTGGGATTCAATCCGGCTTGATACAACCTGTTAAGGAATACACCTATTTCAAAGGACTATTTTTATACGTTTGCTTTTTTGTGTTTGTATCTTTACCAATTGTATTTTTTATTTTCTTTTTTTTTTAATAATAGATTCTCTTCTTAGAATTGTTTTATTACAATTTTTTTAGATTAATTTTAATCAAAAGTACATAATTAAACAATTTACGTTATTATAGTAATAGCAAATTAATATTCCGTAATAAAAACATTAATTACATTTGCTCTGCAAAAAAGTAACTACTTTCTGGATACTTAGACATATTTAAGTACTAGTGAATACATATTCGTAATATATAAATATTTATCATGGGTGTACGATACAAGCAGAATCTTCCACTATCAAGAAAATGACTGTTTTAATTATTATAAATTTAACATAGAATTATTTTAAATTTATAACAATTAATTTAATTACTATAAATTTAATATTGAATGAAACCACATCTACTGCAAAATTCAAAATTATTTTAAAATTGACATAATAATGTATTTGTAATATAGTGACAAAAAAATCAGACGAATTAAAAATCTCCTCTTTTTGAAAATAATTTAAAAAATATAGTGGTTTACCAACTTTAATGTGTTCTATCTGAGAGTGAAATAAATTAGCAAATTGCAAAAAAATTATAATTTAGAATTTATTTCCAAATATACATCAATTCAATCGTAGTAGAACCAGTTGTTTTTATTTTAAAACCAAACGATCGTATTGTATATGCAATATTTGTATCAATTTTGTTAAGAAATAAATATTTTTCATTTTCACTATTGATAAAATTTCTATGAAAACAATCTGAAAATTCTTTCAAATAAAAAAGAAAATTCAAATCAGTTTATAAATTGCAGAGTTAAAAAATTATTTAACAAACATAAAAGAAATGACAGCCGAATAGAGGACCTTGTCCTATTCCAAGATCGGTTGATAAGAGATTGGTCTTAGACATTTGATTCTCTTCGCCTAAACTATAAGCAAGTTGATATAATGACAAGTAATAAATTTAAATAACAAAATGACTCACTTGCCGATGGCTTCCAACAGATACTTGACGGGGTCGGTGCCCCCCCTCCTGGTGAGCGGCACGTGCACGCACTCGCTGAGCGCCCTCTTGAGGATCGCCTGCAGCAGCCCGTGCGGCGCTACCTCTATCACCAGCGCGTTCGAAGGTATCAGCTTCGATGTTTCCTCAAACAGCACGGCATTCTGTTGAACGTTTAGAGGCGGATTAACTTACATCAGTACGAGACATCTAGTACAATATTGATGACGGCCCACCTGATGGAAAGTGGTAACCGTCGCCTATAGACATGAGCAGTGCCATGGACGTAACAGAGTATACTGTTTCGCCCATGATACCCCCCATGCGTCACCATTATTGAGAACTCAGGTGTTATTCCTCTGTACCCTGTAAATTCACGCCATATCCCACCCTTCAAACCGAAACACAGCCATACACACACAACTGCATCACGGTTGAAACACAAATGGGACAGAGGTACCCAAGCAATCGACTTTTGTACAAAGTCTCCCTCTACTTAATGACGATGTTGTTATTATTTTTGAAGTTATTTTTAGAGTTAATGATGTTTGTTAAATTCTAAAACTAATAAAATTGTCTCGCGTAATGCATGTCATATATAATGATGATAGCATTGTTAGTTCTTTTTCGTTCGGATTAGCGAATTGGAAATTTCTGTATAAAATAAATATATATTGTATGAAATAAAGAAAGAAATATTTTTATTTAAGTAAACTTAAATTTAAACATTTTAAACAAATATTTTTCTATGATTCTACCACCTATTCGGAATGCAATCTCTGTTGTTTTTTATACGCATATATGGTTCACCCTGTACTGCAATCACCTCTCTCTTCGTAATTATATAGATACGTTTTTTATAATACGAATGCAAACGAGCATGCGGCTCGCCTGATGGTAAATGACTACCGCCGTTCATAAACACCCGCAACACTAGACGCATTGCAAGTGTGCTGCCGGCCTTTTAAAACTTACCAACAGGTTATTGGTGTGATATTCAGCGGAGGAATACTTTGCTTTGGGTTCCCCCCACTGGTCCTGCGGCACCGATGTCGACACCCATTTCGGGCTGCGCTCCTTTGGCTCTTTAATCACCTCGCTGAGGTATTTCAATAAAGCCGGCCCTATAAAAATCATTATAATTTATTTTTTAACATTTTATTGCAACAATAACGTATATAAAACGTATGTAGAAGTGGAAGAGATTGTTAGTAATGAGATCTAACAGGCCTATTAGTAGCAATTTATTGTAACAGGTCGACCTCCACGCGGTTCTCCTTGGAAACCATCGTGGATTATTTTTAATGAATTTTTTTCCAATAGGCCGACTGACCTGAAAGCCTACCATGAAATGTTTCCCGAAATTTCGGGTCCGAACGAAACACAAATTTGATGTTAAAATTACATGATACATACCGTTTAAAAATGCTAAAGTACTGTTTCTTTGGACTTTTATGGTAGGATTTATGATTAATGAAATGTTAAGCTCTTTGTACCGGGTCGATTTCGATATGAAGAAAAACACGAACTTGAGTCCGAAAATTCGAAATTTAATTTCATGGTAGACCCCCTGCTTCATTCTCACCCATCATGTCTCATTGGCGGCCCGATAGCGTTGCTATTCCTGAGGACTCAGACCTTAATCCTCTGTACTCTGTAAATTCACGCCATATCCCACCCTTCAAACCGAAACACAGCCATGCAAACACAACTGTTTCACGTTAGAAACATGAATAGGACAGAGGTACTCAAGCAATCGACCTTTGTACAAAGTCTCCCTTTGGTAAAAACTTTTCACTTATCTTACCAGCTTCGGCGATGTATCTGGAATGATACGCGATGTTGGAGCACGGCACCTCCTTGGCGAATATGCCGCGTTTGGTCAAGTCGCTGACGAACTCCTTCATGATGTCCGCGGGGCCGGATATCGTCGACGATTCGGCGCTATTGTGACATGCCACTTCTATCTCTGGCGGGCACAAATCCAAAACCTGCCATAATAATGATGTATTTAATTCTACTTATCTATTTATTTAATTGTTCTTTACTCTATATGAGCTCCCTGCCGAGGTTTACCCAAGAGACTACAGCATGGGGTTTTTCAAAAGGGGGGTAAAGAGGTTTCTTCAGGGTCGGCAACGCGCGCGTAATACCTCTGGTATTGCCAGGCGTTCATAGGCTACGGTAACCGCTTACTATCAGGTAAGCCGTATGCTTGTTTGCCACCTCAGTGGTATAAAAAAAATTAGTACAGTCCATGTCTACTCGTTTATGTCACGGTTACCACTTTACATCAGATGGAATATCTATCTATATTAGAATATTATTATTTTTATTTATTATTATATTTTTTTTTATATTTCATTATTTAAATTTTATTAAGTATAGGTAAAAATTATCAAAAATGTAGTTTTATATAGCCGTGTAGTACAGGCATAGAATAGGCCATCCCTTCCTGTCCCGTGGGTGTCATAAGAGGCGACTAAGGGAGGGTGAGGGATGGACAGTCCCTCTTAAAACGTCTTCAAAGCCTGACTGCGTTTGCCAGCCCGCTTGACAAGTATGGCAACTACTGGCAAAACACCCCAAGGGGAGGCTTATGTTCAGCAGTGAGCAGCTAAAGGCTGATATGATATATATATATATATATATATATATATATATATATATATATATATTATATAGTTATTACTAATATATAAATGTATCAATAAGTTTGTTTATTATTACCTCATAACGACTTAAAAGCTTAACCAACCACTATGAAATTGGATATACAATTGCTGTATGGGAGTGAGGGCAATGAGGTCATAGATTACTTACCCTGTGTCCAGGTCAGTAAATATATCCCATGAAAGCTAGTAAAAGGCAGTAGTAGCGTAAATAGTACGTTAACAACTGTGGATTCTGTTCCAATCTATTTTACTGTATAGTTAAAATATTATTGTAACCTGTTATTTATTACGTACTGTAGTGCAAATAAAATTACATCAATCTATATAACATTATGTTTCTGCCGTATGGTCCCGGAATAGAATAGGCCACCCCATCCTTTCCTTTAGGAATCGTACGAGTCCACTAAGGGAGGGCGAAGGGTGAGTAGCAGCGTCTTAAAACATTTACAAAGTCTAACTGCGCTTGCCAATCCGCCTGCCAAACTTGGCAACTACTGGCAAAACACCCCAAGGGGAGGCTTACGTTCAACAGTGAACAGTTAAAGGCTGATATGATGACATAACATTATATAGACGTTCCAATAGTATAAGGACAAAAAATTGTTGTAAAATTATTTTTAACAGGATATTTTATTTATAAAATAAAGCAGTAAGACAAATGTACATATATGTATATTAATTGGTATGATATTAACTTAGTATTTCAAGTTTATTTTATAAACAAACTCATGGTGGGCGGTTTATAAATAAGCTCCTGATAACTAGTAAGTGCACCGCCCACACAGTTCATAAACTCGTGATACTAAGAACATTAATTTATTTTATATAAATATTTAAAGTATGTTATTGGAGACACAAGGACTAATATATATTATATATATATATATATATATATATATATATATACATTGTGCACAGGACAGATATTATTAAAGTAAAATATGTTCGGAGTTTATCGTGTGGTCCCGGCGTAGAATGGGCCACCACTTTAGGGGACTTAATGATCGAGGCATGGACAGCAGCGTCCTTATTAAAACATCACCAGTCTAACTGCGGATGTCAACCTACCACCTGCCAAGCATGACAACTACTGGTTATGAGAGAGGCCTATGTTCAGCATTGGACAGTTAATGACTGACATGATGACGATGATTATATTTGGTAAGCATATTATTTGTATTTGACGTACAGGTAAGTATTAAGAAGTTATTTTTAGAAATTTCAATTTAATGGGATTTGTAACACGGAATAAAAGATTGTATGTATATGAACATGAAAATTTAAATGCCTTTGCTATTATTAATATATCTTGTATTGTAATTTAAATATGCGATATATACGTTAAAGATGTCGATGGAAGATTTGTTAAGGATATTCCATACAGTCCTATAAAATACAACATCATATAAGAAGTAAAGTAGAAGAAGAAAAAAAAAAGTGATAAAATATAGAAACTGCAATTTTTGTGTACATAAATATAATTATCAATTTGTTGCAAACTCATTAATTATTTTAAAGATTTTACTTTTGTTGTATTTTTATACTTTATTTTTACAATTGTCTCGGCTCTTTTTCACTGTCGTAGTCTGTCTTCCGTAATTTTATTTATTATAATTAATTTCCTTTAAACCTATTATTTAATTTTTTTGATATACAACTTAGAATGGCGAACAAGCTGGCGGCCCACTTGATGGAAAGTGGTAACCGTCGCCTATAGACATAAGCAGTACCATGGACATAATAGAGTATACTGTTTCGCTCATGATACCCTCCATGCGTTGCCATTCCTGAGGACTCAGGCGTTATTCCTCTGTACCCAGTAAATTCACGCCATATCCCACTCTTCAAACCGAAACACAGCCATGCAAACACAACTGCTTCACGGTTGAAACACGAATGTGACAGAGGTGCCCAAGCAATCAACTTTTGTATAAAGTCTCCCTCTGGTAAAATTATTGTTTAATTATATCAAATACATCAATATACAGTCCATATTATCGCCCACACAATTAATGATATTTGTTTCAATTGATCGAATACAACAGCTTTTAAAGATAATGGAGGAAGACGCATACGTCAGACGTAATTACGTTTGAAAAAAAGTAATTGAAAGGTTTATCGACCGATAGTATTACTTTTAGGGTAAAATTGGAATTATACACAGTCAGGACAGCAGCGACGGAAAGAATAATAGTTTACTTAGTGAAAATATAGTAACGTAATAGTAAGAACAAATTCTAATCATTAAAAAGGTTCTAACTCAGCATGTGTAAGGAGTCTTTACGGGTCTCTGACGCTGATTTTCTGTAAGAGCCTATACAGAGGGTACTGTGTGTTACAATGAAATTAAATAACAAACGAAACAAGAGAGATGCGAATTCAATTCGTACGTTGGAAGGTAAATTTTAAGCGAGGAAAAATGGTATGGGATATTCTTATTAATTAATAAAATCGAATGTGAGTTTATTTGATACGTTTTGGCATTTAAACAGCTTAATCAATTGTCATGAAATTTGGTGTACACGTACTATAAGGAATGGAGAAAGACATAGTTTACTATTTATCTTCGTCACGACAAAGTCGCGAATAAAAATTAGCCTCGCTTGTACAAGTATGATCTAGATTGTAGAATACAAATAAATGTATATTTATTTATTATTCCATCTTGTTTGTATAATAAGATTGTAACTAGACAACATTTGTACATGAGAGATATTTAAGAACAAAATCTATCTATTTTGCGTATTTGTTTAGGTATCACGCAAAAAAAAACTGCTCCAAATTAGATGCGATTTTCATAGTTGTATTTCTGAAGGTTTAACTTAAAATCTAGTATATGTTTTATTTAAATATGCAAAACGAAAAGTTTCTCTATTTCTGAAATAAGTATATGTAAGTACATATGAGGTACTGTTCATGTCTATAGGCAACGGTTACTACTTTCCATCAGCAGGGCTGTCAGCTTGTTTGCCATTATAAGTTGTATATAAAAAAAAAATACAAAGTAGGAACGAACAAACGGTTAGTTGACAAATAAGTGACTGACCGCCTGGTGTCCGATGCCGACGGCGGCCATGGAGCCGCGGATGAAGGGCGTCTGCACGGACACGAGCCCGCGGCTGTACGCGGCCAGGATCATCTCCTCCGTCGTGAAGCAGCCGTCCGCGTACGCGCAGCCCAGCTCGCCCACGCTGTGCCCTGCCGGGGCAGCACAGTATAACCGTACAGTATACGATTCACACACACACACACACACACGCACACACACACACACACACACACACACACACACACACACACACACACACACACACACACACACAAGAGCATGTCGATGATTATCTAAATTCACAATAATATTAGACAGAGAAAACATTTCATTTTTCGTTTGTAGTAGACCAATGTTTAAAAGTGGAAAGTTAAAGACACTGTTAGACCGACACTGCTGTACGGCAGTGAAGTGTGGCCTACAAAAAAGCAAAAACTGCACACAGCAAAAATGCGTATGCCACGGTAATGAATACGTTAGGGGAAATTTCAGAGTTGTTTTAACAACTAACAAGATTATAAACACAAAAAAATTTTAACCATTTCAATAAATAAATCTTTCATCTATAGAAAGCTACATATCATAGATTTACATATTGGCAAAAAACATGAGCTATATTTTAAGTTAAAATTAAAAGAAATCTAAAAGCCTTTAAAAAAATCATTAATTCTACTGTAACCGTTTCTTAATTAAAGTCGATTAATTCTGTTATTATTGCAAATATATATAAGTGTTGCTTATTTAATATTTATTAAAATGTAACCGACATAATTATTTAATGAGATATCTTTAATTAATTACCATCAATCTTCATACGTACCAATAATGTTGTCAGGCACGATTCCCAGCTCTCTGAGAATGTCAGTCAATCCGATTTGGACGGCCGCGATCCCAACGAAGGAATGCAATATATTATCATAAATGGCTTTGTCCGGATGAGTTAGGATATGGATTAGATCAATGCCCTTCGGTTCCAATGCTTTTTGGCATCTGAAAAGTAAAAACTTATATAATTTTGCAACATTTCTCTCTCTCTCTCTGAATACTCGTATACATATACACACATATATATATATATATATATATATATATATATATATATATATATATATATATATATATATATATATATATATATATATATTATATATACTTTAGAATTTTTATAAAAATATAATTTGACTTGCACCCAGTATAGAAAAAACTGTTTTATTATAAGAATTTCTGTTCTGTCTTTAATGATGTATATACTAGGGATAATAAAGTCGATATATTTAATAGTAGCAGCAGTTGTCTATATTATTAATACGTGAAGCAAAAACTAATTTTTAAAAAAATTACGCGGATGGAGGAGTGTGAAATTTCGTACACTTATAGTTTATATAGAGAACGAGTAAAAAATGCAAATTTTTAAATTACAAATAAAAAGTATATTAAATCAATAAAAAAAAAACTATTACACACATTATCATGTTTTTGATATACACACGCATATTTGTTGAGAATAGATTAATATTGTTTGTCTTTAATATTATTTGTCTATAGTCTTACTGAATGTCAAACTTAAGCATAATAGATTCATTTATTACAATATATGTTTAATCGAATTTTGACAACAAGGCGACCACCAGTATAAGAAAAACCGTCATAAATTATTCATCCAGTTTTAAAAATATATTGCTTGTATAATAAAAAAAAAATAGCCACTTGTTTGACTATTGGTATTAGATATAGTCCAGACAGGACTATATCTAATATCAATAGTCATTAATTATTGTAGCTGTAAGCTACCTTCGATATACATATCTATATGGATTATTATTCTGATTGGTCAAATACTAATATACTAAATTCATAAGTCTACGAAAATATCACACGATTGTATATTTATCAAATAGAATTACGAACTCTGGCGCAATCAGATTCTTTAGTTGTTATTAAATAGTGGTAGTAGAGTGAAAGGAGCTTCATATAGTTATAGTCGGTTACCACTTTCCATCAGGTGGGCCGTCAGCTTGTTTGCCATTCTTTTTTTTTATCTATCTTATTTAGAGGCTTTTATCCTATAAGGATATGTCAGCCTCATCATACCCTAATTTTATAAAATACGACATATACTAAAACATTAATACATAAATATATAATACATAATATCTTAGTAGTCTATTTTGATGAAGGGAATTATTGATACAAAAATATAGTAATTAAAGATTTTGCCATTCTAAGTTGTATAAAAAAAATAGTTATGAAGCTCCTTATATTGTATATAGTGATGATAGATGAAATTATGAATCTTTGTTCTGTACACATTTTTAAATGATCATAGTGTTGAGTGACGATGTATCGTGTATACGGATTACGGAGGGTAGGACTACTTGTGTTGCAGATTCAATTTAATATGTAAGAATGAACTCTTTTTATTATTGCACGTACTGGCCACTTGTACTTTTTTACTATTAAAAATGTAATGCATTCAGTGGATTCTATTCAAATTTAGTAAAAATGGATGTTGGAAACGTAATATGTATTTTATTGTTCTCGTCGTCTTTATAAATATATAATAGTTTAACCGCATTTGCATCGCAATTATCACAGTTTTCAACAACTTGTACTTCCGATTTATTAAGAATCAAAAGTTTTCCAATTTATATGATATCGTTATTAAAATACCATATATACAGCATTTCTATGAATATAAAGGATAAGTCGTTTTTATTAACGACATAATGTCTAGAGTCAAAAGAAGAAAAATTAAATGTTTAATTTTTATATGTAGAGTGCTTGAACAGAGGGAGACTTTGTACAAAAGTGAATTGCTTGGGTACTTCTGTCCCATTCGTGTTTCAACCGTGAAGCAGCTGTGTTTGCATGGCTGTGTTTCGGTTTGAAGGGTGAGATATAGCGTGAATTTACAGGGTACAGAAGAATAACACCTGAGTCCTCGGGAATGGCAACACATGGGGGGTATCATGGGTGAAATAGTATATTCTGTTATGTCCATAGTACTGCTCATGTCTATAGGCGACAGTTACCACTTTCTATCAGGTGAGCCGTCAGCTTGTTTGCCATTCTAAGCTGTATAAAAAAAAAAAGAACATTAAAATGAAAGTTTTGTCTATCATCACCGTAATAATATCTCTCACAGGAATTTGTTAAATTATTTCTTGATATTACACTCCTAAATACACTATCCGGTCGTTTCAGTTAAGAAATGCACAGTTCGTCAGTCCATGTGCGCGGCCGTTCGCGCGCGCCCTAATCACCGCACGTCGTCAGTCCGGCCGCAGCTTGAGGACTCGGAAAATAGTACCTGAGCGCAAGCGTACCACTTAAGCAATAATAGTTTTCGTTGTATCTGCGTTATGGACGAGCGTATTATAATTATGTAAAAAATAAAGGCAACCTGTGCACGGCGGCGGCGAAGATGGGCAGGCGCATGAGGCCGGCGGCCATGGCGGGCCACTGCGAGCCCATGCCGCTGTACGCGAGCCACAGCGGCCGCCGCGCGCCCGGGAAGTGCTCCACGCTCTCCGACACGCACACCGTCTCCTTCTGCTCGTTGCTGTCTGCAAATATTTACTTATTCGTTCACACCTCGACGACAATCCGACAATCTGGACAAACTAGTGGTTGTAGGCAAGATAGAGAGAAAAAGACCACGCGGACGATCGCCTATTCGATGGTCGGACCAAGTAACCGCCGTTACGGGACTGTCAGATGCAGCTGCCCTGCAAGAGGTTGAAGACCGCGAGAAATAGAGTAACATCATAAGAGAGGCTACAGACACCTTTCAAGGACACGACCGTCAGTAATGAAATAGATAAAGAGAGAGAGAGATTTATTCATTTAATACAAAAATTCACAGCTCTTAAAAAATAACATTAGTTTAGTCTTCTTATAGTTTATAACAAGAATAACACAACCACTCTTTGGAATCAACTTCCAGCAGCAATATTTCCAAACCGATATTACATCGTAACCTTCAAGAAAAGAGCATATTCTTGTGTATTATATGTTTTTATGTATTAATACATTTAAAAACAGGAAATAGCAGCAGCGAGGACGAGAGTCCTTCACAGTCGCGACAGCTTTGAATCAAACACGTCTCGCTCACATTTTGAAGGAAACGATTAGTTCTCATATTACGTTGGATATATGGTATATGATATGACATATTCTGGCGTGAATTTACTGGGTACAGAGGAATAACACCTGAGTCCTCAGGAATGGCAACGTATGGGGGGTATCATGGGCGAAACAGTATACTCTGTTATGTCCATGGTACTGCTCATGTCTATAGGCGACGGTTACCACTTTCCATCAGGTGGGCCGTCAGCTTGTTTGCCATTCTAAGTTGTATAAAAAAAAAAATCTTTTTCCCAAGAAACATGGATTAAAATATGTTTATAAATTTACAGTTTCTCGTATTAAATAAGCAACTAGATACGCTATAAAATAATAAAGGATTCAAATTTTTTTGTCGTTTCTCGACTCATATACGTTTAGGAAAAATATTCAATTTTACTACTATAACTACTGGAATAGTTATTTAAATACACTATCGAGACTTGCCGCGATAAAAAACGTCGGCAATAAATGAAGATGGTATGTAGTTACTATTTACCTGCAAACTTTTTCATTGCGCTAAATCCCGATAGTGTATTTAAATAGGTGTAAACAACGTGAAAATTTAAAATTAAGTACTGGAATGCGTCTTTAAAAAAATATTTTATATTTATCTTACATACTTTTAATTAAATAAATCAGAAATAAAGAGTTGTGTTAAGGATAAGGTATGGTTCTGAGCCACTGACTATCTGCAATGCATTTGAGGTTGTCGTTTCATTTAGTGGGTAGTCGTTCTACATTGTATTTGCTCGTACGAGGTCGTATATATATATATATATATATATATATATATATATATATATATATATATATATATATATATATATATATATATATATATATATATATATATATATATATATATATATATATATATATACAAAGCGATATATATATACAAGCGATACAGAAGCGATATAAATAATTACAACAAAAAGGGACCTTAAGAGGCAATGTAACAAAATTAGACACTAGAAAATTATAAATGTAAATGTAAAACGAACGTAAAATTCCACTGTATACATTCATTCATAATATACACAAAAAAAAATATTAAAACATAATTTTTTATAGTAATTTCAAAACACAATACGTAATTATTGTAAATATAAATAGAAACAAATATCAAGTAATGTGACGCATAAAGCTCGCGTATAATTCACTAAACAGTAAGTACCAAGTATAAATAGGAGCCACACTGTGTAAGAAATATGTCTCCAAGAGCGCGACTATAAAAAGGTAATAACATTTACAAGCTCACCGAGTATAATGTATCCCCTGCACATGTGTCCTGGTATTTCGTTTTCATGGATGTTATGTAAGAGGCCGATTTGTTCCGGATCTATGGGCTGATTCTTCAGGAAGCCAAATACGTGATTGACAGATGATTCTTGTCGTCCAGAAATGAATACCATACGAGGTATATTGCACTTGTAACGTTCTGGATCCTAAAAGTTAATATATGTATAAAGCAGAGAGAGACTTTGTACAAATGTCGTTTGCTTGGGCACGTCTGTCCCATTCGTGTTTCTACCGTGAAGCAGTTGGGTTTTCCAAGCTGTGTTTCGGTTTGAAGGGTGGGATATGACAGTGAATTTATAGGGTACAGAGGAATAGTAACTGAGTCCTTAGGAATGGCAACGCATGGGGGGTATTATGGGCGAAACAGTATACTCTGTTATGTCCATGGTACAGCTCATGTCTATAGGCGATCGATACCGCTTTCCATCAGGCTTGATTGCCATTCTAAGTTGCATAAAAAAAGTTTTTAACAATATAGAGTAGCAAACGGCGACTGACGACACGCCTAATGGAAAGTGGTAACCGTCGCTTATACATAATCTACACTGTGATAATCATTGATAATAATAATAGACTTATATCCTCTTTACAATTCATTACAATACATTGAAATACATTGTTTCATGCTTATACTAAAGTGATCAAATTAATATACTTGCAAATTCGTTGTTATTTCTGAACCCTGTAATTTTACTGCCATATATATTGTACATATATTCCAATTTTCCTACTGAAATACAATCATGGAAGCCCAGCTGTTTGATGGTAAAATACGGGTGGGACAAAGATACCCATACCCTAAACTTTTGTACTAGTAAAATGATTTTATTTATGATTATTTATAATGTAACATTACGTATTGTATAAGTATTTTGTCCTTGTTACCATTTCCTCAACTAACTCTGTTATTTCTGACAAATTTTTGCGTCTCACATAGCGTTTAATAAATAATACACTTCATGAACAAATGTAGCTCTTTAGAACAAGTTATAATGATATAAAATAATTATATTTAAGAGTCTCAACGTTGTATGGATTTGGATATAACCTTAGATTAAATAGATAAAGCATCGAGCCTCAAAAACGGGTTAACTTTTTATCAGATAATTGTCAAATTAGCTGACTCGTTTTTTTACCAGTATTCTATATACTTACGCATAAAATATATCTTGACGTATTATTTAATAAATAAAATAAGTATTTACGCATTGAAAGGATGAAAAAATTATAAAACAAAATAACTATTTATCACGCAAAATTATATGAAAAAGTTGACTAGTTTTTCTCAAAGCATTTCTATGGAGACGCTCTATCTATATGATCTAAGGTTATGACATTAGAAAAACCTGGCAAATAGTCCACAATAGAGAAGACTTTGTGTGTCTCTCGATGCACATAAAGAGTTTATCTATGTTATTTAACTGACCTTTTCTTTGTAATGCCCTTTTAAAAGAACATGGATGTTGACACCGGTGTACGAGAAACAGTTCAATGCGGCGAAACTTCTCCCGAAGGGGGTGTGCTCGTTCACCACTTGTATTTTACCTTCGCGCACTGCAGGTATTTCATCATGGGGCTCGTTGAAATGGAGGTTTGGTGGGATTATACCTTGATGGTATGCGAGGCAGACCTATGGAAAGAAATAGCTGATAATGCAAGCTGCAAATAAAATAAATATATTCACGACTGTAAACCTTAATAGAGTAGCAGGGCATTTGCCGATTGATCCCTTTGTAGTGAATGTAACACTCGACCTATTAACACATAGAAAATATTGGAATTAAAAATTTTACGAATCAATAAGAAGATTTATAGACGCTTGGATGTTACTCAATGTTTAGTTAAATACGTGAGTTCGTTATACAAAATATATATAAAGATTAACATCGTTTATATGTCATTGTTTATTTTTGTTTTTGGTTCAATAAAGAGTTAAATAAAAAGTAAATAAATAGTTATAGGATATTTTTATTATATTTGCGAGAAAAGCCCATGTGGACCGACAGTGTTAAATAAATTTTTATGCTCAAAGCGCCCAAGCAAAATTCACTTTTGTGTAATTTAACACATACATAAGTGAATTTTGCTCGCTAAAACGGCAATTTTTGTCGTGATAAAAAATATAATCTAAAATTCTCACTATTATGTTTTAATATGCATAAAATGCACTAAAACATGGCGAGATGATGCAAAGACACATTTCATTTAATATATTTGATTTTAGATTGCGCAGTATGCTTAGAAACAAGCGGTTTTTGTCTGCAAAAACAAACGGCTCCAATTATCATAAAACGAATGTAGGAGCAAAATCGATTCAGTACTGGCGAAGTAACCACGTAAAATATATACATAATTTAAGGTTTGTTCTAAAAAAACTCAAAAAAAAAAAACAAGTAATTGAACTAATTTTAATAACATTTTTATGAGACCAATTCGAAAGTATATTCTTTAAAAAATATGAAAATAATTTGTTAAATCGATTTAAACGTTCACGCTCACTTTTTTACTTTATCCGAGCAGTAAGTGCTTTATATTATTCTCAATTTCGTGTATAATGTAGTATATGTCATATATGTGTAAGTATATTTGTTATTCATATATATTTATTTGTTTATATATGTAATTTTAGTATGTACGTATATCAATAATTACTAGTGCCGCATTCGAGTATTCTGACACTTCCCTATGGTTGACTGGGAGAGAATGCTTTTAGCATTAAGTTCGCCATGTACACATATTTGTACTAATGAATAAATAAATAAATAAATAAATTGATTTTATGACGAAGTTATGAAAGACTTCGCGTCTTTTAAAATTATAAAAACAGAACATGACTATAAAATAAATTAAGTTTTATACTATATAATACATAATGGTTATTGAGAAGATGTTAAAGAAATAATAAAAACCTTAGTGAGAGCGCAGGTCCCGAAAGCAGGTTCGCTGTGCCCCATGTTGGACACAACGCTGCCGACTTGTATTGGTGTGTCTTTTTCAAATACATTTGCGATTGCTTGCAGTTCGTTTCTTTCAGCTGTGGCGTTGGCTGGTAAAATAAATATATTACTTCATATACAACCTGGCTGACTCGGCAAATAATCTATTGCCACCTTGCAGCCATCTAGTTTTTATTTTTTATACCACTGAGATGGTAAACAAAGAGACCGCCCACCTGATGGTAAGCGGTTACCGTAGCCTATGAACACCTGCAATACCAGGGGTATTACGCGTGCGTTGCTGACCCTGAAGAAACCTCTTCACCTTCCTTTTGAAGAACCATATGCTGTAGTCTCTTTTAAAAACCTCGACAGGGAGCTCATTCCATAACCTGAGCGTTTATAGAAGAAAACATCTTGGAACCGCATTGTATGCGACCATCTAGGCTGTAGGGTATGAGAGTGAACTCCCTGTCGATGGCAAGCTTTACTATTACTATCTACTGGGGTCATTTCTCTTATCAGGGTAAACACTTTTCTATTTCTTAAGTTGAAGCTAACAATCTAAATTTAGGGTAGAGGGTCAAGTTAGTTTAAGCCAAGAACTGACGACTAAGTAACCGTTATATGAACTATTTAAAGTTCAAATTAATAAGATTCATTAAAATCGGTTGATCCGAAACGCATTAATCAATTAGCGTGTACGATCATCTCGATACTTTTTTTATATATTAAGGATTTTTTTATATGAAGATTACTATCATGAATAATTGACCGCATACTAACTACTAGCTGGTAATTAATGCTCCTTTCCACTCAGAGTTTGCTGGAAGAGAACTCTTACAGAGTTAAGCTCGCCTGTTCTACATCTTCATTTAATATAAATTATAAGAATGTAATTTGTGTGTACAATAAAGTATAAACAAAAAATAAAATATTAATTCGTGAATATAATATTTTTTTTATATAACTTTATTGCATAACCATGATTGTAACAAACTCAGCACTGGAAAGTACAGTAAAAGTGGATACAAATTCATTTGTACATTTGGATTAGTTTAAACATCTGTGTCTGAACTAGGTTATAAAACCTGTATCTCAGACAACAGCGCTCAATCCACATTACATAGTATAATATAAGTTCAGCTAAATTTTTAGTGCTACATATAGAATGTTGAAATATTAATTTTATGTTATGTTCAGGAGAGGTACTATTAGATACAAATAAATTAAAGTAAAAGCATTAAAGTCATATTATTCGATAATTGAATTTAGTTACAAATGTGATATTTAATTTTGTTTTCATTTGCCAATTTGTTCGAGCATTGTTAATAAATCTAATAAACAAAAGCCGGCTGTTTGATGTGGGAGAACACACTGGGGATTGTTAATATGAAAATATTATATCTCATTAACAATGTTTTTGGTATATTAATTTCAAATTGTGCAGCGTATTTCTGTGCTATTAACTAAAACGTTAACTGTACACTTAAATAATAACTATAGATAGACCATTGAGTGTCAAAAATGGAACAATTTTTGTCAAACACACGTCAAATAGGCAAACATAACTGTACCCAAGCAATCGACTTTTGTACAAAGTCTAATAAAATAAATAAAATAATATAAAGGAGTTAGAAAATTTCAAAATTCTTTCTAGTATTGCAATTGATTGCACTTGCATCTTGACAAATTACCTAAACGCAGTTGAAGAACATTAAAATTTATTACCGTTACTAGTTGCAACTGGAATCGTTAACTAGTTGTAGAATAGCAGAACCACTCACTGGTATTGACTCCTTAATTTATCAAAGCAGTCGCAGAAGTAAACAGTTTCTAAATAATTATGTTGCTTTAAGGGCGTTCATACCTAAACTATTAGTCAATTTTTTAAACCATTCAACAATCCTATTTGTATTACAAATGCGAAAGCTCGTAAACTATGTTTGTTATTTTTTCACGCAAAAAGTACAGAATGGATTTGAATGAAATTTTGTATACAGGTAGAATATATTTTTTTTTATACTATAAAGGTGGCAAACAAGTCTATAACCTGTCTGATGGTAAACGGTCACTAGCTTATGGACGCCTGCAACACTAGGAGTGTTACTTAGCACATAGAATGATTTATGATACAGCTTGTTTTTAATAAATATGACTGATTATTTACACAATAAAGTACTCTAAGATCGTACTAAAATTATTAACGCAAGATTGCATTTTAAAAACAAAAAAGAGTATATCTGAAAACTTTAAAAGTAAAATGTGAAGTAGGTGTAAAAATTCTTATGGTAGATTTATTTGCAACTTGTTCTATGCTTAATGTTTCTAGTTCACTATTAGTAGAGCAGTATTTATATAACCAACCATAAATAATGAAAATTGTTAAATTATTTTGAAAAATTGACAGATAAATTATGACATTTTAAAACCTCGGTATGAAAGCTCTTAAGTTGTCGTGTCTTGGACCGAAAAGGTGATCAAAGCCAAAGACCGCAGAAATGTATGCCAGTTAAAATAAACAGCTTGTAATTTCTTACCGGATCCGTGCCCTTCGATATATTCCACGTCCTTTGGCGATACGTTTATTTCGGAGTAGAACGCTTCCAGGAACTCCTGAATCTCTTTCGGTTCACGGATCGCGCAAAAGTTTTCCCCCTCCCCTTTCAATCCGTACTTCCCTTTGACATAATACACTTCTGAATAAATTCTGTAATAAAATAATAATTTTATTATATCTTATACATTTAACGCTAAGTCGTTAATTGATTAACAAACAAACTCACTTTCATATTTATAATATTAAATAACGCTAACTCCCATACAATAGACAGACAATCGAGTATCTTTTATATGATATAGGGGGTAAACAAGCATACGGCTTGCCAAATGGTAAGTCACTACCATTGCCTAGGGGGGAAGGGATTGTTAGTGCGGACTATTAGTCCCATTGCTAGCAATATACCCTATTAGGTCAACCTCCACGTGATCCCCCTGGAAACTATCGTGCTGGATTCCAGGTGTATTCATCACGATGGGCTAATTGATCATTTCATCTCACCTATCATCCCTCACTGGTGCCCCGCCAGTGTATACCATTAGCGCGGGTGGGGTTACCATTTCATTATCATCCCATACAAGTACTACCATTGCCTATGAGCATCCGCAACACTAGAGGAATTGCAGATATGCTATCGGCCTTTTGTAAGTTGTTTAAGTTTTCCATTTTTTTTTATACAACTTAGAATGGCAATCAAGCTGACGGCCCACCTGATGGAAAGTGGTAACCGTCGCCAATAGACATGAGCAGTGCCATGGACATAATAGAGTATATTGTTTCGCCCATAATACCCCCCATGCGTTGCCATTCCTGAGGACTCAGGTGTTATTCCTCTGTACCCAGTAAATTCACGCCATATCCCACCCTTCAAACCGAAACACAGACATGCAAACACAGCTGCTTCACGGTTGAAACACGAATGGGACAGAGGTACTCAAGCAATTGACTTTTGTACAAAGTCTCCCTCTGGTTTTTTTTTTAAGTTTTCCATCATATATTGTATATATTCCTGTCAAACGACTTCAAAAAGAATGAAGTCGCAATTCGGTTTTATTTTTTATGTTGTGTTGTTTTTTGTTTTCTTTATGTGGGTTCGTAACTCTGTAAGTTGTAAATCGATTTGGAAAATTCTTTTGTTATCTCAAACGACATACTTACAGATTGATTCAGTAGAAATTTTATCAAAATCTGTTTAGTACCTTAGTTTTTTAAACAAAATAACTTGTAATGACAATTGAAGACGTTTTTCTTTTGTGAAACACTACTTAATTATTTTCATAAAAAAATTAATGAATAAATATGAAATCACAATCAAATAAAACACAGAAAAACCACACGGGAAAAAATCGGTTAATTTTCGTTTTTAAGAAATAATGTAAAATTAATTGTAACAAAACCAAGTTCAATATATTAGGTATATGTTCATTGTACGTACTCGTATATATTAGGTACCTATGTTATAAATTTCATATAATAATACAGAATTTAATTAAACAACTTCGAGTGCTATGGTTTAAGGTAGATAATTTGTTCAAAACCAAAAGGGAACATACCTCTTCGCGTGTTTGGCTTTCTGCAAGAACAGCACGCTAATGGCGTCAGATCTTACGTATCCATCGCTGTTCTTGTCGAAACATTTACTTTTCCCATCCATGCATAGAAAACCGGCCCTGTGGAGTAGAGACTTCATTATTATTTCAAATCAGGTTATTTTAGGTTTCAGAACTAGGAAAATATTTACAAAGATCAAGATAAAAGATATATTTTAATTAAATTTTATGCTAGATTTTAAGTTAGGCCTTTCAGTTTTCATATTCAGCGTGATGCAATAGATTTTGTGTGATGACGAAACAAACATACAGACATATATATCAAATATTAAAAAAGCATCAACAATGCTTTTTTAAAATGGTACATTTTTAAAATACATTATTCTTATACGGATTATTTGAATGTAATATCGAATTATTTATATTTTACTTGATAGATTTTATCCATTTGGTTTGTTTTTATATATTAATCAGTTTTTTTTTAACATAGATAGGATATATAAAAATAAAACAAACAGGCCAAAAGCCTCAATAGTAGCAGTTCCAAAATCATTCCATGCGTCTAGAATGAATTAATCACTATATTTACGTTTTCAATTAACTTTATATGTGTGTAGCCTACACAGTACCATATAGTTATGACGAAGTCATTTGTGATGAAATTATGAATCTCGGAATGTGACCCTAAAAATAAATATAAAACACAACCTTTATGGACGGTGTAAGCAATTATTGGAATTTGGCGGAATTACAAACTTGTAAGTATTCATTGTGTAAAACATTTGTACTATTTCACAATTGAATATTATATAGTGGAATAGAAATACTTTAGCGTTCCTTTAGGGGAGTATTATATATATATATATATATATATATATATATATATATATATATATATATATATATATATTTGAAGATACATTATTAATACATACATATGAATACAAACCTACATAAATAAGAATAGTATTTTACCAGTTAAAACAAACGTTTTTAATAGACTTCAAAAAGTACGAGACTTTCAATTCAGAACATACTTTCATGTTTGTTACATCCTAACTGCGTCAATTAGAAATAGACTTGGGTTTTTTTTTATATGAAAGGATATACTTAGAACTTAAAATTATACTTAGGGATTGGTCGAATAGAAATTTTATCAAAATTCATTCTGTTGTTTAGTTTTTAAATCAAAATAACCTGTTTGATCATAATTGAAGTCAATTTTTGGTTATCTTAGGTTCTTGTGCAAACTCTTATATGGTAAATTAGCTTTGATATATTTTATGCAATATCATCATCATCCTAGTCATTTCAGCCGTTAATTGTTCATTGCTGAATATAAGCCTCCCCTATTGGTGGAATTTGCCGGTAGTTACCGCGTTTGGCAGGTGGGTTGGCAACTGTAACTAGACTTTGATCTTAAATACTATTGTTATATTCTTATCGAAACATATCTGAATCGGATCTGATTACACCTATCCCCCGATTTACACGATAGATACGTTCCTGAAAAAAACGTGTAAATCGAAAATTAAAAATTTTCAAGTCAAAACCGTGTAAATCGAAAAGCTTGCAGAAAATGCATAATTTTGCTATTTAACAGTTGTGATTTTTTTCAATATTTTTAGGTGTACACAGAAATAAAAATAAAATGCATTGACAGGTTAAAATATGTAATATATTACGGAAACCCTGTTTTTTTATTTAATTACAGTACATTAAACTGAAAAATTAAATCTGTCTGACACTGTGAAACTTTCACTCAAATACAATTTTCCATAGATAAAACTTTAATTTTATGCGAAGAAATACAGACACAGTGTGCATGTGCAGCAAGTCAGCACATAAGCTCGGGATTCCCCGTGAGATGTGTACACAGCGCACGTGTTCAAACACAGTAGCATAGTAGAGTATATATATATATATATATATATATATATATATATATATATATATATATATATATATATATATATATATTTATATCTATAGAATAGATTTTGTTTTATAACAAATTTCTCTTTATTTTAAATAATTTTTATCTTAAAATATCAAATTTTAACTGCGGATGCCGACCCGTCTGCCAAGCGTGGCAACTGCTGGCAAAATTCCTCTTATGGGTGAGACCTATGTTCAGCAGTGGACAGTTAATGGTGATGTGATTATGATGATGATGTTTTTGAGCATGTGGGGATTTTTTGGCTGATAAATTCAATTTCAGTCTGTATTGATAGTAATGGGGACCGGCGGCCCCATTACTGGCATATACCCTATAAGATCGATCTCCAAGCAGTTCCCGCTGGAAACCATCCCGGTTATTTTTTGTTGAATTAGTCACGATGGACTAATTGACAGTACTTCTCTCTTACTTACGTACTTACCTCTCATCTCTTACTATTCCCACCAGCGTATACCGATAGTGCAGACGAGGTTACCATTCTATTATTATCCTTTTAAAAAACACTGATTTCACTTTATTCTCGAAGCTCTATAACATCATATAAGAGCTATTGTGACCCATGTAATTTTATTCGTACCTTTTATTATTCAAAGAGATGGTAGGCTGCATACAGAGGTTGCAGCCACCCACTATGGCGGCGTCGCATTGGCCCGAACTGATGGACTTGTATGCGTACTCTAAACACGCCATAGAGCTCCCGCAGCCGACGTCCAACGCGTACGAAGGGCCTTTACCATCGATCCAGTAAGAGATACGATTTGCGTACATAGCTTTGTTCGATCTGAAACAAGTTTTATATTTAAAACTAGCAACCCGCACAATCAAAATTGGCCGTACCTATGTTGAATCAACGACTATTAAAACGTTTATTACATCTAGACAGAAAAAACCTCAAAACAATGATAGGGACAATAACGGGTCATTATCCATTAAACAAATATCTATACACAATAGGAGCCACAGACAGCCCTCTATGTCGAGGCTGTTTAGACGCCGAAGAAACGGCTGCTCACGTAATCCTGGAATGTGAGGCTGTGACCCATCAACGTTTAGAAATCCTCGGAACGGTGAGGTCGCTCCGTGAGGCCTGTGAAGAACCCAGGAAGCTTCTGCGCTTCTGGACGGAGCTAGGTTGGCTGTACTAGCCACGACTCATACGCACAATGGCCCAAATGAGAGGCTAAGCGCGGAAAACAGAGTCTTTCTCATATTCACATTCACATTCACATTCAACCCGCACTGGCTTCGCACGGGTGGACATTTTTGCATTTTAAAAAGTGGCTGCACACGCGACGGAAGCTTAAAAATGGAGTAACTTCTCTCGTTTTCCCAACATTTGAATGAGCTCCCTGCCGAGGTTTTCCTGAGAGACTATGGGGTATGGGGTTCTTCAAAAGGGGATAAAGAGGTTTCTTCAGAGTCGGCAACGCGCGCGTAATACCTCTGGTATTGCAGGCGTTCATAGGCTACAGTAACCGCTTACCATCAGGTGGGCCGTATGCTTTTTTGCCACCTCAGTGGTATAAAAAAAAACATTTCCCTTCACTGCTCTGCTTCTATTGATTGTAGTGTGATAAAAAGTATACTATAACCTGTCCAGGAGTATGAAAAATAATTGTACCAAATTTCGCTAAAATCCGTCGAGTAGTTTTTGTTTCTATAACGAACATATAGACAGACAAATAAACAGACAAAAATTTTACTGATTGCATTTTTGCCATCAGTATAGATCACTAATCAGTCCCTGATAGTTATTTTGAAAATATATTTCATGTACACAATTGACCTTTCTACAGATGGCTATGTCGAGTGTTATGTTAACCACACCGGCAACAATCGACAAATGCCTCTGACTATCCCATTAGGGATTATAGTCGTGAACATATCTTACTAATTGTCTCCATTTCATGGTATACTCACCCAGTGATACCGAAGCCGTTCCGCTGAACATTTTCATAAATAACTATTCTCTCAGATTCAGAAAATGTTGATCCGATGAACACTCCGACTTTTAAACCTCGTAGTTGTAAGGGGTTGATACCTAGAAACATATTATATATAATATTAAAAGTAATTATTAATGGTAAGCATACAGAATTTATAAGTCCATATTTATAATTCTGTATACTTAAATATCTGTCTAGTTGCTAAATATATCATGTATTTAGCAATTCGACAGATATAAAAGTTAATAAAATAATTAAATAATAGAAATAATCATACGACAAGAAACCCATTAACAATTTGCTACTGGGTCCGAATATACAATAAGAGTATAAATAAAATATGTAATTTGGATTACAACTGTAATAGGGTAGTTAGAGATATTTAATTTTGTTGCATATTATTGAACGCAATATTCGCAAATTCATATTTCGACGCACATATTAATAATACAAAAAAAAATAGTGCTTATAAATATTATATAAGGATATTAATCTACTATTACTATTTTGGCCGGGCGGCATGGTATAGTTTTATTTCAAAATGTTCACCTTTTGCACTGATGTAACTGTTGCGTTTAAATTCATTGCGATAGCGAAAAATAATTTGGAGGGAAATTTGAAATTAGAACGTTCGTATTTCTTACTTTTAATTAAACCTATTTTTAAAATAAATTATAATTGGCCAGTTACTCAGAATTTTTATTTGTAAAACATTCTATACAGTTTCATATTTTTATTTAGTTAAAAAACGCTTTAATTATAATTTAATTAACGAAGATCAGTTTAATGAATATGATTCAATTAATAAGGAAGTATAACGTTTTATGTAGTCTTCAAAACAAGGTATAAGGGGTCTCATGGGTATCATACTGTGTGCTGTGATGGCATATTCAATGGTGTCATTTATGTCCATAGATGATGGCTACCTCTTTCAATCAGGCAGACCGCCAGCTGATTTGATTTTCTAAGTTGCAAAACTCACCTGAATCATAGATGGCGCTGTATGCGTGCTCCAAAAGCTTTCTACTCATGGGCTCCATAGTACAAGCTTGTTTGAAATGGACTCTAAAGAACTGAGCATCAAACTTGCTCATTCCATTGACTTTCCCCAAATGCTTGGGCACTTCTGGGTGGTTGAAGATCCATCGTGGATTGTCTGCGGTCACCATATCCACCTGTAATAAATTTGTCTTTTTGATTACCTCAGTGGTGTACTGTAACATATGACCGGTAGGTAGGCAATGGTAGGAAGTTCGATTCCCGCACAATATAAACATTTGATTTCACGACATACGTATGTATGCAATTTTCTATTTTTTTTTAAATAAATATAGGTATTTAATTTACAAATTAAATACCTATATTTTTTGTTTGACTCTGCGAGTCCTATATGGGCTCTTTTGAAAAACAAGAACAACCAAACCTTGTTATTTAGATTGTTCATGAATTCCAGAACGCTGTTGGACTTGGGAAATATCCCAGACAGCCCGCTGATGACCACTTCATTGCCAGTCAATGGTCTGTGAACAGTTTCTTTTGGTGTAGCATTCTCGTAAAACGTCTCTTGAGGTGTAGGGGCCATGGTACGACGTATTTCCCGTTTGATCACCGAAGGGCGACTAACGGCAAAACAATTATCTTATTAGTTTATATTTAACTGTAAAGGGCGCGGTACACGAAGCGGTTAACGAGCGGTTAAGCCGCTAGAACTAATAGAAGGAGCAGTCTTTTCTTATTTTTTTTTTAATCTGACAGTCCATATGATAGAAAATGGTGACCATCACCTATAGACATGAATACTACCGTGGATATTATAGAGTATAAGTCAACCCGCCTGCTAAGCGTGTGCAACTATTAGCAAATGATGACGATTCCACTCTTTAAATTTAAATACAACCATGTAAGCACAGCTGCTTCGCAGTAGAAACACGAGTGAGAGATTTCTGTACAAAGTCTCCCTCTAGCAATATTGTGTAATATTATAAATGAGAAAATGAGTTTGTAACATTTTAACCACTAAACCAATCGAAAATTTGGATGTAGTACGTATTCTGTCCCATTTTTATTTTATTCAACCGTGAAGCTGATTGTGTGATTACGACGTCGGCTGTGTTTTGGTTATTATATAACAATATTATGTATTGTCTATGAAACATCTCGCCAACTATAGCTTTATGTATATTTTCGAATGTTAATGATTTTTTTTACAAAACAGATACATAGAATGAAAGAATAACACCAATTTGTTACGTGCTCAAAAAAAAATACGGTTCCTATAGCCTATACAGACAGGTAGTATCTGTTATGACTAATAAGTAGTGTATGTATTTATGTAATATTTTATTATATATTTTAATATTTTATTTAACTGTATATTTGTTTATGTATTAATAGTTGTAGCACTCACTGGCGAAACAGTATACTGGAAGAGATCTGTCATGTCCATGGTACTTTATAAATAGATTATTTTATATGTCTTATAAGGCAATAACGAATATATATATAAATATTTTTAATGTAATATAATGTAATAAGTCCATCATGTAATATAATTGACAAAGTTCAACTTGTTTGTGACATTCTTGATTTTTTTATATACAACTTGTATATAAAAAAAAAATAACATATAACATAATAACATATTATACCCACAGTTCATGTCATCATCATCATCATCATCACATCGGAATTATATATTGGTATTTAAATGAATTGACATAAATGCCATACTTTCTAACCCTTCTTTGCATGATTATTTTTATTGGTGTAATAAATCAAGGTTTTCAAAAATAAAGGAAAAATGGTTAAAAAAATAAAATTGACAGCTATGGTTTTTTTTTTCTGCAATGGACATTAAAAAGGTATCCAGACACAATCAACTTAAAGTGAACTTGTTATTTTATATAATTTTTGGGCATTCAATATTATGATGGAAATTTCCACCATTACGCAAAGAAGAGTTAATTATTTGAAACATGCGTCAACTACGCGTACAAAATATACCGTATGCAAACAAGCTAACAGCGTTTGAACGCATCATGTGTTATGAACCTTATTATTTGTGTTGTAGGAAGTTACGATCAATAAAGTTAAACAATAGCATACGAATGATTGAATAAGTTAACATAATTACATAATTACTTTTTCGGAAACTGTCGACGGACCTAGGCAAACGATTTATCAGTACTACAAGTAGATTGTATGATAATTTTTAAAAATTATTATTTCGGAATAAGTTACTGTTTTATAACCAATTTTTTTTGTACTTGACAGAAATAGTAAATAATTTATTTACATTATAGATAGATAGATAGATACTCTTTATTGTTTCCTCCAAAGATTACAATAGTAAACTTATTATAAATATAAATAATTACAAGAAATGATCATAATGAGAAAACAATGAGCGACCTTATCGCTAAGAGTGATCTCTTTCAGGCAACCTTTGGATGGAGAGGAGTTATTATAAACACATTATTTACAGAATTTAGTTATTTAAAAAATAAAATAGATGCGGTTGGTGTTTTTTTGTGACTGTTTCTATAATTTTGATTATGTATGTATGATTATTTACCTTATGATAATTTGACTTTTGTAACATTTTGTGTACGGAATCCTAAAAATGCTTTATTTATTTATTTATAGGATCACCAACATAAGATACAGCTAAACATTCCAATACAATACACTGGCAGATTAGATCTAACTGTTCTTACATTTATAGGCAACCACAGCGTGCCTCGTGTTTGATAAACATTAAAATAGAATTAAATTATTAAATGTCATTAAACGAATAGAAATACTAACAATATGAATAATAATATAATTATAAATAATGGAAATTGTAATTTAACTGTTTTTTAATTATAAATAAATATAATGTAATGGACTTTAACCGCCCCATTTGAGAGTAGATTCATAATTTTACTTAACTATAGGACATTATCATTCCTATCTTTATTGTCAATGGTACTGCTCACGTCTATAGGCGACGGTTACCACTTTCCATCAGGTAGGCTGTCAGCTTGTTTGCCATTCTAAGTTGTAAGTTGTTGCTTGGCCTTTTTACAGCTTAAACAATTTCAATGAAATTTGGTATACGCATATAGAGAAGGATATAGGCGATTTTCTATACCGGTCAGTGAACAAAGCCGCGAATAAAAGCTAGTATAAAATATAAATGCTTCGAAAGTCCCTATTGCTAGTAGTAGTTATGAAAGGATCAACTTTAGAAGCGTAGAACTTTTCAATTTACTGAACTGACAGTATTGAATATTGAAATGTTATAATCAACGGTTGGGGAGAGCCCTCGCGGCTTAGAATCTCTTCTGTAAATTTGTCTGGCTTTAGGTACGGGAATACCATAGAAATATGGCGTACTATGTGGCCCATTGTTTTCTCATTGTGATTGTTTCTTGTAATTGTTTATATTTATAATAAGTTTACTATTGTAATCGTTTGGAGGAAACAAAGAGTATCTATCTATTCATTTATTTATATTTATATTAAAATATAATATAATAGATGTACAACTGGTATTGTGAAGAGAATAAACCTTACTATTATAAAAAAAAAATATCGATTTCTCGTGACAATTACTTTTCCATCTTAGTCTTATAAATTGTAGCCTTTTAATTAGATATCTTTTAGTTATCTATCTATCTATCTATCTATCTATCAGTATTGAAAATAATGATTTAGACAAATGGGGTATCGGGTTCGTTTCTTGGTCGAGTAAATAATTTTGTATTATATATGTAATAATTCTAGATAAAAATACGTTAGATTTTTGAGGAAAAGAAAACACATTTTTCACCCACAATTGTAAATAACTTTTCGTCATCATAATATCAGCCTTTAACTACCCAATGCTGAACAAAAGGCTTCCCCTTGGTGGGTTTTGACCATTTACAATTACATCGTATCACATCATTAATCAGGCTGTATGCTTCTTTCGTGGTACAAAAGTATAATAGTGGAACAAAACCTTAAGTTGTAATGTAAATATTTCACAGGCGCGTCACAGTGGAAACTTGAGTGTATAAATCGTGAAACCACTATTAAATTGTCGAGATAAGTGACCAAGTTGACTCCCTTTGTTTGGCGATACGATCGCGACGTGGCGTTAAGTAACTCTCGCTTGGAACTTAAAAGGAATGTGCGGGGCGCTCTTCTAACTGTGAAGTTGCTCACTTTACTACGAGTATGGACCTCGTTATTTATCTAGTTTCAGTTTCTAATGTATTTGATGTTAGCTCATTCACATTACGTTAAGTACACTCAACGCTACATTGTATTTTACTACATCATCTTATATATTATAAAAATCACTTTCCGTTTAAATTTAATCTTGCCGGTTACTCTCGAACTGACGTTTACATTTAGTAATATTAGTAAGTAGGTAGATAATTCCAATTAAAAGTTAGTTAATAACCATGTGGTCCCGGCATAGAATAGGCCACCCCTTCCTTTCCCGTATTAGTCGTAAGAACCGAGTAAGGAAGGATAAGGGATGGGTAGCAGCGTACCTCTTAAACGTCTCTAAAGCCTGTCGGCGTTTGCTAAATCGTCTGCCAAGCATGGCAACTACTGGCAAAATCATATAATCATGATGATGATGCCACCATAATTATACAAGAATGCAGTAACTGCGTCTGCAAAGGTCGTGGATTTCTCCGCAGTATGTATTAGTACATTAAAATATACATTTACATATTCACATTATTATATCTATGTATCTCTCTATATGCATTTAAAAAACGAACAGTTCCTAGCCAGTTTGCCTCCAGTCGAATTGTTTATAAATACTCTTCGCCATCCAAAGGTTGCCTGGAAGAGATCGCTCTTAGCGATAAGACCGCCCATTGTTTTTTTTATTTTTTTTTGTTTTCTTAATGTAATATTTTCTTGTTTGTATCTATAATAAGTTTACTGTTATAATCTTATGGAGGAAACAATAAAGAGTATCTATATATCTTTATTGAATTAAATTGACATGGAATATTATATTGAGCCGTGAAAGTTTCAATGGGCTCCGAGCTGATCGTTGAGCTCACAATATTTACTTTGTATATCAGTTATTTATTCCTAACAGTCGAGTATCGGATTGTTTCCACTTTTGTAAACAAGCCCAAGACGAGGGAACTTGGAACGAAAGTTTATTTGCAATTAATTTTCACTCTTTCAATTCGCGACGAGCAGGTCCGAATTGAAAGCAAACTTCTATCTCTTAATATACACGTTTGAAATGAACGTAGCTGCTCGCGACGACGGTATAATCTGCTTCGGATTTATTAATTTTTACCACAGGACTGTTGGAATTTAATTTTGTGATTAGAAAAATTGATTCATTGGGAATTAATTAAAGAAAAGCCAGAGTGTTCATTCATTTGCTTTTTGCTAAAAATTTAAGCGAATTCCTAAAGTGGACGGTACGCGATTACGTCGTCCCTTCTCAACCGATTTTACTAATTCTTTTATGTAATCAATAGGGTTTTACTTCTACATTAGACTCATAAATCTACAATTAAAGCCGCCGTATAACTAAATATAAATTACTCTATATGCAAACATGCCATTTTTAATTCTACATTCAGATATTTATTTTATGTGTTTATTTATTTTTGACTATATTATAAACAAAAATACTAGTATCATAATATGTATGTATGGAATCCTAAAATTATACAAACGTTTTTTTTTTTTTATTTTATCATTTAGCGATATGTTTGCTCACGATTGAAGTAGATTTTTTATTTAACACGGCTAGTCTCTCGCGAATTTATTCGCTTAAATTAAAATACAATTATCGCATGTGTTAATTTAGGATT